GGGGAGAAGAACTGGAGACTGCAGAGGGATTGGGGAGCTGGCCTCAACAGGATGCGGTGATGGATTCAATGTGAGGATAGAAAAGAATCAAGAATGACTTTGAGGTTTCTGACTTTGACATGGTGGATGGCGGTCCTGCCAAGCCAAGGCAGAATATGAGAAGAAGCAAGTCCCTGGGACAAACTCAGAGATGCTGAGGTCTGTTGTGGCCACTTGGCATTTGAAATATGAGAGGGACATTTTTAAAAGCCCCAAAACAAAAAGCTCCCTCTACCAGTTGTTCTTGGGCTCAGAGTTCTGAGAGAGAAGAGAAAAGTGGCCAGCAATTAAGGATTTGAGTTACTGGAGCAGTCCCAGGGGGCATTGTCTGAAAAAAATCCCTTTTGAAAAGAGTCTATTTATCTTTAGAAAAAAGCTTTTATAATGTTTTCTCCAAGTGGTTAGTTTTTCCAAAGGTCACTTTAGAAGGCCTGCTAGTTTTTGAGAACTTGTTTTAATTTTAATTGTACATTGGCAGGAATCAAAGATTCAAACGTAATGCGTTTAATTGAGTGTCTCTTTTAGATAACAAAATCTCCGCTGGTGTTGAGTTCACTGCTTTGGAATACCCGCTGGTGGGAAGGCTTTAAGTTTAAAGTATGCAAATTACTTGTTGTGGAACGCAATTAAAGAGTGTAAAATTGATTGGCTCCCTCTGCAGCCCCAGGCTCAGTGTCAGTCCCTAAATTACAAGACCCAAAGAAACATGAACTCGCCCTTCTGCCCTGGTTAAAACAGAACCGTTACTGGGCAGAGTCTTGCATTCTCGTGTGGACAGGACAGCTTTCTCAGCCGTGTCCACCCCCCTGCACCTTTTTTGGGAGCGTGAACATGTGTTGAGTTGCATGTTGTTTTGTACAAAGTGTGTGACTCTAAACTCTGCAACATTTCCATTGAGGGTCCAGGATTCAGAGATGAGAATCGTAGCAAAAATCGAGAAGATGGTTTGGATCTCTATGCAAACTTTTATCTTACAATTCCACAGCACGTGAAGTAGGACCATAGGGGTCTCCACTCTTCCTTGTGAAACTAACCATGAAACAGATGCATAAGTGGTAACCTGAGTCCTTGTGTGGATGAAGGATGTACAGAAGCCACTGGAAGGAGTTTCAGCAAAGCAGACATGCCTGCCCTGCTCACTGGCTCCTGTAAAGAAATTGGCCCAGACTGGATCTCCTCTATAAAATATTGAAGTAAAACCCAGCATGCATCCTGGTACACAGCCTGAGCGAGAGGGACGTCAGAGGCTTAAAACTATGCTCCATACTGGATGGAGGCAAACGTGACTCAATCAGATATTCCTTTGGGGGAACCAAAAGTGTTAAAGGAGCCAAAAAAAGTGATTCATATTGCCACGAAGTGGCTGCACAACCCAGCAGGGGAGGCACCAGGACTCGGAAGGACTGAGCTGTTGATGCCGTCACATCCTCAAACTCCCTCATTTAAGTGGCCTCCCTCAGAGTGTATGTGTCAAATGAGAAGAGTCAAGGATTGTGGAAAGAGCTTTGGAAGACTTCAATCTCTGGCAGGTACATGAATGTAAATACTATGGTGGCGATGCAATTAAGGTGTGACCATGTGAAATTGGTTGGGTAGAAATGTGGCAAGCTTATTGGCATATTCTCTGACCCCAAGGGAAAAGGACAACTCAGCTCCAGCCAATGGTCACCTTGCTAGAATGTGGGCCTAGTGCTTCCAGACCTTTCTTTCTTTCTTTCTTTCTTTCTTTCTTTCTTTCTTTCTTTCTTTCTTTCTTTCTTTCTATCTATTTTTAATTATGGTAAAGCACACATAAAAATTACTATTTAAAAAATTTATTATTATTATTATTGTTGTTATTATTATTGAATTGGGCTCTCTGTTGCCAAGGCTGGAGTGCGATAGCACAATCATGGCTCACCACAGCCTCCACCTCCTGGGCTTAGGGAATCCTTCCGCCTCAGCCTCCCAAGTAGCTGGGACTGCAGGTGCGTGCCACTGTGTCTAGCTAATTTTTTATAAAGACAAGTTTTCGCTATGTCTCAAACTCCTGATCCTCCTGCTTTGACCTTCTAAAGTGCTGAGACTATAGGCATGAGCCTCTGTGCCAGGCCAACTATGCCACTTTCAATATTTCCACGTTACAGATAAAAAAGATTAAACACCAAGACCAACACCCAAGGCTGCATATCCAGCTTAAGGCAAAATCTGGTTTCATACTCGGTCTTGCCTGACTTCCAATGTACTTTACACCAAACTTCAGTGTGCTTAAGAACTACGGGTGTGTGGCTGACTAGGGTTAAGGGAGAGTCTTTATACTCTGCTCTGCCAGTGCTTGGCATGGGAACTTTGATCAATGTTGATATTGATAATCATAAATTCAACAGACTTCTGCTGGCTCTAATGCTCTGGCTAAAGACTGTCCATCACTGGGCATCCCTGGGAAGCCAAACAGAGGATTTCTCTCACTCCAAGGCAAACTCCAAGCTTCAGGATGGATTTTCAGGGGCAGATATGGGAACCCCTCATGCGCTCCAGGACATGAGGGAGCAAAAGTCCAGCCAGAGGTGGCTGCTCAGCTGTTTCCGTTGGAAGAACCATTTCTGAAGACAGTCCCGAACCATTACTTACCCACCTTGCATCACCCAAGATATAGAGTTTGGATGATTTTAATGGCATGAATAGTATTTTTATTTTTAATTCTTTTTTAGTCAGAGTAGCACTCTGTTGTCCAAACTTGAATGCAGTGGCACAATCACGGCTCACCAAAGACTTGACCTGCTGGGCTCAAGTGATCCTTCTGCCTCAGTCTTCTAAGTATCTGGGACTACAGGCATGAGCCACCAAGACCAGCTTTAAAAAATTTTTTTTTCTTTTGTGGTGGTGAGGTCTTGCTATGTTGCCCAGGCTGGTCTTGAACTCCTGGGCTCAAGCAATTCTCCTGCCTCAGCCTCCCAAAGTGCTGGGATTACAGATGTGAGCCACACGCCCTGTCCTGAATAATGTTTTAAAGAGTTTTTCATGCCTTGTGACATTCCTGGTTTAAACTGTAAAGTCCTTTTTTTTTTTAGTTGGAGTGTTACTCTGTCACTCAGGCTGGAGTGCAGTGGCATGCTTATGGCCACCCCAGCATTGACCCGCTGGGCTCAGGTGATCCTTCTACCTCAGCTTTCCACATAGCCGGAATTACAGGTGTGCACTACCATGAACAGTTAATTTTTTGATCTACTGTAGAGATGAGGTCCCGCCAAGTTGCCCAGGCTGTTCTCGAACCCGTGGGCTCAGGCAGTCCTCTCACTGCAGCCTCCCCAAGTGCTGGGATTAGAGGCTTGAGCCACCAAACCCAGCCTAAACTGTAATGTCTTTGACAGCAGAAATCAAGACCCCTGCAGAGCCTGGCACTGAGTAGAACGGCATAAACGCAGGGTGAATAAGAACACCATGATAGCATCTGTCTGCGGAAAGCCCACCAGGGCTACTGGCTACATGTTTGAGCTCACTTTCATGAGCACAACAACCTGCAAGTGTTAAAGATTATTAACCCCATTGTCCAGATGAGGAAACTAGTGAGGATTATGACAATGAAAGTCCATCTTTTAAGTTCGTATTATGCACCACTCACTGTGCTAAGCACATTCTCTCATTTAATCACCACAATAACCCTAGGAGTTATGTCATGTTATTAAATTCCTCATTTTACCTCCAAGTAAAAAGATCTTCAGAGTGCTCAAGGTCACTGGCCCAAGGTCACCGGGTTGGCAAGTGGCAGAGCCCAGCCTTTGATGCAGGACTGTGAGCCTCTGAAGTTGACCTTATTACCCTGCACTGCACAGAAAATAGAAGAAAGGCCGTGAAGTGTTCTGGTTAGAGGACAGAAAACCGAGAGAGGGAGAAGGGCTTGGCTCAAAGAGGAGGAAATAAAGGGGGTGTGGGGGAAGGGTAGCTTGGGAAGGCGATGGAAACTGAGAAGGGAAAGGTACCTTGCCCTGCTCTGCCCTGTTCATCCTGGAACCACAGGCTCTGCCTGTTCTCTGGCAGCCTGGGTGCTGATCTGCCTGGCATGTCCTGGAAGGAGCCCTGGAACTGACACAGAGCCAGTCATTTTCCAGGAGTGGCTCTGAAGGCAGGGTTCCGAATTCAGTGTTCACATTCCCCAAATCCTTCTACATGGAAGGCAGTATAACACAAGGTCTGTGGTCCCCACTTGTGCTGTGTGACCTTTCTGAGCATCTGTTTCCTCACCTATCAAATAGCAAGGTGAATACTGCCCAGCACACTGAGTTGTGAGAACCAAATGACGTTACATTTAAGGAAGTGCTTAGCACAGTGCCCAGCACACGGTGAGTGTGCACTGTGTGGACGTTTTCATGAAAATCTCTTACACTTGTTCCCAAGGCACAGCTCTGTGCCAGTGCCTCAGGAAGAAGTAGGCTGTTCTCTCCCCTAAAACATATGCTGATGCAAAAAATAACAGCCCGAAGAACTAGAGTGGGCATGCAAAGCTCCAATAGCAAAGGCAGTGGTCTAAAAACTGTTGTCTCAAGAGCTTGCCCCTACCTGCCATCATTTCTTGCTCTCTGGTTGTGTTCCAAGAATTTAGTACCTCTCATTTAGTCTTCACAATAATCCAGCCTGGTCATTATGTTCATGTCCATTTTAAAGAGGAGAAAACTGAGGCTCAGAACAATACAGACACATGAGGGCGAAGCCTGGCTCCTTCTCTTCAGTGGAACAAGGGAGCCATATATAAATGCAAAATAGAGTGACTGCACCTCATCTTACAATTTGCTTAACCTGCCTGGAGTATTCTCATCTGGAAACTGGGGATGCTGTTGCATATATGTGAGTATACATACTTATATTTTTAATAATAATATGTGTTCTCATGTGGTTAGTAATATATAAAAGTCCTCAGGCCCCCAGAGGCAAGGAGACAGCCTCACCCCATGCATCACCCACAACCAGGATGGGGAGACACTTACGGAAAAGCACTATGAGGAAGCGGGTCTGGTTCAGCATCTGGATCAGGCCAGCAGGCGTCAGCACCAGCAGATTGTGTTCCTCCCTGATGTGCAAGGGCTTGGTTATGTTGATGCTAGGAACATCGGTGTTCACCTCTGGTGAGTTGTGGACAGTAGAGACACAAGTAGCCACCAGCAGCAGGGCCATCCAGAGCAGCTCCATGGCTGTCCTGCAGGAGCCAGAAGGAACGGAGACCTTATCAACACAGGTGGCGAGGCCCCACGTCATCACCCCCCCGACTTGTCCAGCCGGTCTGTGTAGGGTGAAGGCAGCCTGAGCACTGCCCACTGCCTCCCAGTGATGCCCACATTTGTCAGTGGCACCGAAGAGGCAAAGTATTAGGCCGAACTCAGGTGATCACAGAGCTGCAGGTCTCCACTCAGAGCTGTAGGATGCAGAAGCAAACACAGGCCATTCGAGCCCACTGGCTTTTCAGCCTCTAGGTGACGGGGTCCTGTCCCAGAGTCCTAGGGTGAGCCTCTGGATCTCAGAGATGACTGTTCCAATCCCCCATCTCAGCCTCCCAGAAGTCCCTCTGCCAGCAGAGCCCTTACTTCATGCTCCTCCTCTCCTGCTTGAATACCCCTGTGATGGGAAGCTCACTACCTGGCAATATACCCCGTTTAATTTTTGAACAAATATTTTCAAGTGTAAACATTTTCTTTTAAAAGTCATGACTAAAATACACACTGAGATGTTAACCTCAAGTTAGCTACAGACCTTCAGGGAAGCTGTGGCTGGCCCAGCTCAGCTCGTGTGGGCAGCTGAGCCTCTGAGCATAAGCCAGGCCAGCAGGGGGATGGAGGGCCCTCCCCTATTTCCCAGTGATTCCTGATCAATTTGTGGGGAAGGGGTAGTGGAATGTACCAGGTTTTCTGCTAACCTGGGAATATTCCCAGTGCTCCGGGTTGTATGGAATGAGATCAAGGCCACTGTTTGGTGGGGATAGCCCTCCACGGTCAGACTCCAGACTTCCCTCTGGCCTCGCGGAACCAGTCACAACTCCCATTCCCTTCCTCCTGCACTCATTCATTTGTCCATTCATCAAATATATACATTTTCGGAGTTGAGGTCTTACTCTGTTGCCCAGGCTGGACTTCAGTGGCATGATCACAGCTCACTGCAGCTCAGGAGGTTTTTCTGTCTCAGTCTCCTGAGTAGCTGGGACCACAGGCAAGTGCCATCACATGCAGTTCATTAAAAAAAATTTTTTTTGTAGAGATAAGGTTTCACTATGCTGCTTGAACTCCTGGGCTCAAGCAATCCTCTGCCTCAGCCTTCCTAAGTCCTGACAGAACAGTGTTGGACTGCTGTGCCTGGCTCACATTCACCAAATATTTTGAAGGTCTTGATACATGCTGGGTACTGTTCTCGGTGCTAGGAATACAAAAGTGAACAGAGCAGGCAAGAGTCCTTGCATTCTAGCAGTAGGAAGCACAGTCAATGAGATAAACAGAGATACAGCAAATGGTGTGTCTGATGATGATACTTACTGAGGAGAAAAAACAGATAAGAGAAGAGGGATGGAGTAGGGGAGGGCAGCAGTGGAATTTTCATTCAGAAGTTGACATTTTGACTGAAGGAAACAGAGAAGGGAATGGTTGTATTTGCATTTCTGGGGGAAGGAGAAAGATACTCTCTCTTCCCACTCCCTCTTGCTCTTTCTCTTGAGACCACCCCTCAACGCCCTTCTCAGCTTTGCCTCATCCCAGAGCTCCCCTCAGACTCTGGCCCACATTTTGTCTCAGCCCTCAGTCTATGTCCCTGACCACTCTGCCCTGCCCCTTTGTTCTCTGGGCCGTGGGTCTGCCCCTGCACCTGCTCCTGTGGCCTGACCCCAGGGAGGCCCCACTGTGGCCTCCCAGACACACTTTGCCCAGCCCCACAAATTCCAGCCTCAGCCTCTTATCCCCCACTCAGAGGGAAGTGGCTGTGATGGGAAACACTTATTCATAAGAAGAGTTCACGCTGAGGAGCTTGTTGATGTCTGCCACTGTGCTGAGCACAAGCTGTTCATTCTCTCCACCAGCATGCCACCAGGAGCCCCTGTGGGGTCCAAGCCACCGTGGTCTCTTTCTCGCCAGACAGTGCAGTCACTTCCTCCTGGGTCACCCTCTGCTTCAACTTCTCACTTCCCACAGTCCATCCCCCATGCTGCAATTAGAGATTTCTTTTCAAAACAGGAATATTATCACGTCTCCTCATATCAAAAGGTTCGTGTGGCTTGCTGTCACACATGAGCCAAACAGGCCACTGTGGTCTGCCAGGCTCCCCTGGATCCAGACCCCTACCTGTCCTTACAGCCCTCTACTCCCTCTCCTGCATAGTGGGCCAGCCACCCTGACCTCTTCCCTTTTTCCAAGCAAATCCTGCCTCAGGGCCTTTGCCTCTGCCTGGAACACTCTTCACTCCATATCGTCAGTCTTTTCTGGTCCTTTAGATCCCAGCTCAAATACTCAGCTCTTCTGAGGGGTCTTCCTGGACTACTCTGTATCGCCTCATCTCTGTTTGCTTCATATTATTGTTTCTGAATGTATCTTGTTTGTTGTTTTTTATAAAAAATTGTTAATAAAAAATGTCGTTGTTTACAGCTGTTTCCCCACCTCCTAGAAAAGTGCCTGGACCAGATATGAAGCTCAATGAATGTCTGTGGAGTGAATGATTGAATGAAAGGCCTAATTTAATTCTCACAACAAGCCTCATGGTCCACTTCAGTGGTTCTCAACCATGACTTCATGTTCAAATCTCTTGGGGAGTTTTACAAAATTATTGATGCTCAAGGCCCAAGCCTAGTTTAGTTGGTCTGGGATGGGGTGAGTCTAGGCATCATTTTTTTTCAGGACATGGATAGAAAATTTATTAAAGAAATGAATATGGCTTATGAATATACCAAAAAAGTGTACAAAAAGAAACTTACAAGAAATTTCACTAGAAATAAAAAAATTAAAATAAAAACAAGATGCAAGATTTATCTAGCATTCTGGTTAACAATTAAAATAATGATAATACATAATGTAGGAAATATGCAAACACACATTTTGATGGAAGGATGAAATGAGAGATTCTAGTTGGAGAATAATCACACATGTGTCAAAAGCTTTTAAAAGGCTTGATCCAAATTCAACTTCCAGAACTAGATCTCAAGAAAATAAAGATAAATTTTTTTTTCAAGGAAAAGCACTTATGGGCATCATTTTAAAGCTCTGGCTGATCCTAATGTGTAGACGTCTTTATCAAAACCCACAGTTAAATTGGTGATTCTTGGCAGAGGCTCCCAGGGCAGAGTCCATTAGCCAGAGTTGCCATTTTCACTGAAGTTCACACCTACCGGAAGCTGGGTCACTCTCAGGGCTGCTGGGGTTGAGATGGGGCTGTGGCACCACGGAGGGAGTCACGGCCTGAAGAGCAGGCTCCTGGCTTCCTCTGCGATCAGAGCAGGACCCGCAGGCGACTGGGCGTTCTCAAGAAATCTAGAGGCAGAAATGAAGTCCCTTCCTGCACACACAGAGGCCACGGCAGCCTCAGCAGCAATGTTCTGAATTCTGGGGTTCTGGGAAACCAGGGGTGACCCTGGAGAAGAATGGGTCATTGTTGTGTAAGAGGGGCCCCTTCCCCCAGTCCTGGCTGAGTTTACATGGAGGCCAGAATAAAACTTAATGTGGAGTGCTGGGTGTGGCCTAGGAGGGCCCTGAACGCCATGCCTATGGGTTGGAGTTTGAATCTCATCTTGGTCCCCAACAGCTGTGTGGCCTTGAGAGGGTCATTTACTCTTTCTGAGGTTCAGTTTCCTCTCCTGTAACAGGGCCTCTACCTCACAGGGGTGTTGTAAGGGTTTTAAATAAGATGATCTATGAAAAGTGAGCCACTTAGTACCTGGAAGGCCCCCTCGCCAATTGGTACTTGGAAGGCCCCCTCGCCAATTGGTGACAGGCCTCTGCTTCTAGTACTTTTCCCACTCACTCTGCTCCAGCCATGGATCTCCTCGCCGGTTCTCAAATATGTCAGTCATCCTCCCATGTCAGGGCACCTGTAGTTTTCCTTCACCCAGGTATACTCAAGGTTCACTCTCTCAGCTCTTTCTGGTCTTTGCTCAAATGTCACCTTCACAATTGTGCCTTTTCTGGCCACTGTGTTTAAACTTGCGACCACTCCATTCCCTCCTCAGGCATTCCCCATTCTCCTTCCAGCCTTTATTTTCCTTCATAGCATTAATCGCCTCTTAAATTCCATATCATTTACTTTGCATAGCAGGTGATAGATGCCCATAATCATTTGTTGAAGGAATGAAGGAAAGGCCATTAATATTATTAGCATCATCACTATTATTATGGGCAGAGTTGGTAACCTTCAGCTATCTGCTACCCATCACTTATCAAACACTGATGGAGAGTGGTGACATTGAGATCAGACTACCTGAGCCCATGCAGCCCTCTGAGAAGAGATTGTATCTTTAGATCTGGCTGGAAATGCAGAGTTGAAGGTGTTGTCTGGAGCCCAGTAGATAGCTGGATACTGAGCAAATGGGCCTTGAGGGCCAAGAAGATGATTCCCTATGGCCAAGCTTGATGGGGGGAGAAGTTATACCCACGTGGAAAAGGCCACACTGGCCTGGCTAGGACATGAGACAGAGCCATGTGGAGCCAAATACAGTGAGGGCTAAACACCCAGTGTGATGCTGAATTACTGCTAAAGTAGGCAGTTGATACCTAAGCATTCTCTCTGTAGGACACCCATAACCCCTCCTTCCTCGAGGGCCTTGGGTACAATTCTAGGGATAAGGAAGATGCTCTGAACATTAAATGAACACGACATTCCCACAGGTCCTGGTGCCTGGGAATTTCACTGAATTTGGTTTGATTTTGGAACAAAATTAAAAAGCAATGTGCACGTGTGTGCGTGTGTGCGCGCGCGCACGCGCGCACACACACACACACACACACACACACACACACGCTTTGTACCCAGACTATCAGATATGCGTTTATACCTGTAACACATGGAAAGTCTCAGTACAATGTCTGGCAGATAAAAAATGTTCACTAAATATTAGTAATTTGCTATTCATTTACTCAGTCATGTGGAAGGCACCACTCTAAGTTCTGGGCATATAATAGTGCCGAAAATCCAGAATCTATGTCCTTGTGGAGTCTATATCCAAGTGTGCTATACGGAGGGGATGTGACAGATGACACACAAAGAGAATAAATACAAAATATTGTATGCTAGAAGGTGATCAATGCTAAAGGAGGTAATCAACCAGGGAAGGGAGTCCAGGAGGTATCAGATGGGAGAGAGCCCCAGTTCTTATCAAAGAGGTTGCTGAGGTACATGGAAACCTGGCATTGGTAAGGGCATGGACCACAGGAAAGGAACAGTCCCAGCAGGGAGATCAGCAAATTTGGGGTAGGAGGCAGGAGGCAGGCTGCCCGGAAGCTGGCTTGCAGGGGTACTCCAGGGATGACTGCTGCTATGCAGGAGCGTTGCCAGCAGGTGAAAACCTAGCTTGAAGTGGATCGTGGTGGGAATAGACATTGGCAAACACTGCAAGTAAAGACTTTGTTGTTCTCAGAGAAATAGTTTACCAGCTGCCAACTCTGAGCCAGAATTTCAGAGAACAAACAAGAAAGAGACGAGGGTGGCTGGAATGGAGTCAGTCAGGAGGTGAGAGACAAGATCACAGGACATCATGTGGGGCCTTGTAAGCTCTTGTCAGGACTTTGGCTTTGACTCTGAGTGAGATAGGGAGTGGTGGGTGGCTTTATTTTTCAAAACAGCTTTAGGCAGTGTACAATTATTAGTATTTCCTGTAGTAAATTTAGAGTTGTGCAGCCATGTTCACAATCCAAATTTAGAATAATTTCACGACCTGAAAGAAACAATTTCACACCTTGCCCCAGGCAACCACTCCTCCACTTTCCATCTGTATATACTAGAGGGTTAGAAGCAGAAAAAGAACAAGGCTCATATTATTATCACTGTTGTATCCTTTCTGCTAAAACATAATAATGTTCCTGTTGGCTTTTTTTTTTTAAAGCAAGATTTATTGAGAGACAAAAAAGCTCCCACGGTGGGAGGGGCCCCGAGGGAGTTGCCCCCTGTTCATTGCTTTCAATTCAAATGGTGATGTGAATTTTCAGGGAACATGTCCACCGGTTTGGGGACACCCACCAGGCACTATGCCTGGAGTCTGATCTTACCAGCCACTGTGAGTCCTGAGAAACTTGGCAGGAGGCGGCTCTCACTGGCTCAGTGTGTCCAGACCAGTTGAAGCCACTGTGTCTGCTGCTGGCTTCTGGCTCTCGGCCCTCTCTTTGACTGTGTTAGGGGGTCAAAGTTCCCTGTGGGAGGCTGTCGGCAACTTGCGTTCACAAGCAACCCGAGGAAATCGAGTGTTTACAGGCTTTTAGGCCTGTCCCCCACTGGAGGCAGAACACAGAGGACTTTTGCATTACCTGGGTTCAAGAACAAGGTAACTTGGAAAGAAATCCTTCAGCCCAAGTAGTCAGCTGCTCTTGAGGCCTTTGGTGATTAAGCTAATAAGAGGCACTGGTAGGAAAGGGCCTGGGGACTGGGAAGGAGGTCGTCAGATTCTAATTATCAGCTGTCAAGGGGCCTGAGGAGGAGGAGCCCAAGGGTGAGAGATGAGGAAAAGGCTAACGTAGAGTTCAGGGGAGGTGAGGAATGGGAAAGGGAGCCAGGAGAGGGAGTAGGCCCAGGTAAGGCCTAGGCTTTTCTGGGAGGTGAGAGCTGGAAGTCACTTTCCCCCATCAAGCATCACTCTTTTTATCTGTTATTTTCTATATGGAGATTGTTATTTTCTATATGGAGAAAATTTTCTATATGAAAAATGTTATTTTCTATATGGAGAAAATAACATTTACAGGATGGAGTGATTATAAGGATTTAATGAGATAATGCTTATAAAGCACTTTACAAATACTTGGTACACTGTAGGCCTTTAGTAGACAGCAGCTGTTACTGTTTTTCTTGTTGTTCTGACACATTATTGTTGTTGGTGGTTATTATCATATTTTGCAATTATTCCCAAAAGGAACTCGATGAGAGAGAACTAAAACTGGGGACACACAAAGCTCCTACACCACCGTTTTTTTGAGTTGGAGTCTCACTCTGTCGCCCAGACTGGAGTACAGTGGCTGCTCCCGGCCACTGCAGCCTCGACCTGCTGGGCTCCGGCGATCCTTCCGCCTCAGCCTTCCAAGTAGCTGGAACTACAGGCGCACGCTACCACGCCTGGCTAATTTTTTATTTATTGTAGAGATGAGGTCTCGTCAGGTTCCCCAGGTGGGTCTCAAACCCGCGGGCTCAGGCAATCCACTTACCTCAGCCTCCCAAAGCGCGGGATTACAGGCTGAGCCACCGAGCCCGGCTATGCCACCGTTTTTCAGACTTCAATATGCATGAAGTTCATCCCGGGATCCTGCTGATGTGTAGATTCTAATTCCAAGGAGTGGGGTGGGTCTGAGGTTCTGCAGTTATAACAAACTGCCAGGTGATAAATTGTTCTGCTGGTCCCAAGACCACCCTTTTAGTAGCAAGACACTAAAATTGCATCGTGTGATATAGCAGCCACTTACGGTTTTTGAGCGCTTGAAATGTGGTTAGTCCAGATGGGGATATGTTTTTTTTTTTTTTGAGTTGGAGTCTCACTCGGTCGCCCAGACTGGAGTGCAGTGACCGCTCCCGGCCACCACAGCCTCGCCTGCTGGGGTCCGGCGACCCTTCCGCCTCAGTCTTCCGAGTAGCCGGAATTACAGGCATGTGCTATCACGCCCGGTTGATTTTTGGATTTATTGTAGAGATGAGGTCTCGCTGCCCAGGCGGATCTCGAACCCGCGGGTTCAGGCAATCCACTCACCTCAGCCTCCCAGAGGCGCGGGATTACAGGCTGAGCCACCGAGTCTGGCTTGGGGATGTGTTTGTTAGGATCAAATACACGTCGGTTTTCAGGACTTAGTACAAAAAAAAAAAGAAAGGATGTAAAGTATCACTTTAATAATTTAGGGTTTTTTTTTTGAAAGCAGAACTTATTGAGAGGACAGAAAAGTTCCCAGAGTAGGAGAGGACCCAAGGAGGTTGCCCTACTAATTTAGTTTTATATTGATAATGTGTTGAAAGGATCATACTTTGGATAGAGTTGGCTAAATAAAATGTATCATTATAATTCATTCCACCAGTTTCTATTTACTTTTGCTTAATGAAGTACTGGAATATTGTAAATTGCATGTATGTGTCACGTTCTATTCCTACTGGATAGCACCACCCTAGAGCTGTCTTTGACTTCATCAAGCCAGTTCAGGATTGGCCAAAAGCTTTTGGAGGGATTCTCTTTGAAGGACTGAGTCATCTGCGTGTGGTGGCTTGTGCTTGTAATCCCCAGCACTTTGGGAGACAGAGGCGAGAGGATTGCCTGAGTCTAGGGGTTCGAGATGAGCCTGGACAATTTGATGAGACCTCGTCTCTACAGTAAATTTTGAAAATGAGCCGAACATGGTGGTGCTTGTCTGTGGTTCCAGCTACTTGGAAGGCTGAGGCTGAGGCGGAAGGATCACCTGAGCCCAGTAGGTCGAGGCTGTGGTGGCCATGGGTGTGCACTTCAGCCTGGGTGACAATGAGATTTCAATTCAAAAAGAAGAAAAAAGAAAAGTGGGTTCCCAGTTACTGACTTCAGGCCCACAGATACCCACAAGCCATGAGAGGTGGCAGGGATGACCCTCAGGGTCAAAGAAGAGAAATGAGCAACATCACACAGCAGAACTAAGGATGAAGGTGGAGAGCCTACTCTATGCATGGGCACCACAGTCACCAGCAGCGCAGATTGCAGGTTTCTCTAAGCCTTATGCTTCCCCCCAAAGCCAAGAATTCATGATGATGTCCGCTTTCCTCTCTTTGGTGACAGACACGAGGTGACAACATGAGGCCATGGCTGAAAGTCCTGATCCTTCAGGCCCTTAAGAGCTCCCGGGGATTCTGCAGGTCTCATGGGCAGCTAGTGCCTCTCTCTGTCCCTCAGAAGATTGTGGCCACCTGGGAAGCCATCAGTCTAGGGAGGCAGCCGGTGCCTGAGTACTTCAACTTTGCCCATGACGTGCTGGACGTGTGGAGTCAGCTGGAAAAGGTGAAATCCACTCGATTCTAGAGTCCATCTTGGGCATCTGAGGTTGATGTGGAAATGCTAGCCTGAGAATTTTGCTAGACCTAAAATTTAAACTGTTGGCATTTAAGGTAGGGGGCGGGTATGATCAAGTATTGTGAATCTTAGACACACTTGTCCAATCTCTGAGGGTGTAACAGTGAAATGGCAAAAGACTGACATAACTAACTCTATTTTAGACTTGGGGCAGGGTCCTGGGCTTTTGTTCATGCTTGTACATAGACAAGAACATAGAAACAAGGCATAACATAGGCATAACATAGAAACAAGTATGCAGCTATTGAGACTAATTTTAGGAAAAAGGGGAGTGTGTATACTATGTTTTGTTAAAGATTTAAAGGAACATTGTGAACTGACCAAGGACAAAGAAGCTTCCCAGTCCCTGCTCTTTCTTTCCCACCCTTAACAAAAAGAGCCTGACATTTATACTGACTTGAGAGGAGTTATACCAACTCCTCAGGCTGCTGGCTCTTAAATAAAACTGTTTTCCTTACACCAATCTTTGTCTCTTGACTTTGGCTTTTGAGTGACAAACAGTCAAACCCGAGTAAGGTTGCAAAGTGTCACAAAGTGAGCCTAAATCACACGGTTAGGCATTTATGTCCCCTTCTGAATCCCTTCCAATTGCTGTCATCAAGTGAAGTGGTGAAGGAGGTGGTTTTGCTTTGCCGGCTACTCTGTCTTTAGTATCTTTCTCACTCTTTTTTAAATAAGGAAAGAGTAAGACTCAGGCTCAAAGCTTTTCACAAATCATAGCAATACATAGATTTGAATAAGATAAACCTAATTTCCTTGTGTGTCTCTGTGCACATGCTTCCTTTAAAAATGTTTCTATGTGTGTCTGTTTTTTGTGTCTTTCTCTGTATTTTGTGGTTACATTTTTATTTATGTTATATGATGCTAACTTCATTTATAGTAGGGGAATATTACATTTAATTTAAAGATATTTATTTATGTTCATTTTAAGATGAGCTTGTTTAAAGGAAAAAAACGAGTCAAATGGCACTGTTAGTAGATACAATAATGTTAGACTACCAGTGGCTATGGTAAGACTTGTGACTGTGGTATGAGGATAACTGAGACTCAAAAGCAGGTTTGGCAGCCAGGTAGACATGGTTCGTTCATGTACTTGAAGTGTGACCTTGGACAAGTGCGCTAAACTTTTTGGATCTCAGTTTTGCCATCTGCAAAATGGGAGTTATAGCATAGACCACTCAGGGCTCCTGTGAGAATTAAATGAGATGTGTATGTAAGAGATGGAGCCAGGATGCATCATTCTTGATTGTCTACAAAATTTAAGCTTTTTTTTTTGCCACGCTAGGGGGCATCCTTGGAAAACTTCTAATAATTTTTAAAAAAAGCAGAATTAAGTCAGAAAAAATTATGGAATAGGGACTTTCAAAATTTTTCTGTTTCATAAAAACAACAGAAACAACAACCCCAGAAAATTGTGAGACTCAACTTTTTTCAGGATTCTAGAAATTAACCAGAGGCTACAACAACCCAGAGAGGGTTTATGAAAGAAATTGGTTGGATCTCAGTAAGAATAGTGAGCTTGGTGGCATTTTAACTGGTCTTAGTCCCAATCCCCGCTTTCCAGCAAAGTGGTAGCCTTGAAAAGTAACAGCCCTCATTCCTGGTGCAGCATGGCAGCTGTCAGAGAGAAGAGAATAAAGGTGGAGCTCTTTCCATACTTCATCCCCAAAGAATTATCATTACTTGATTTCTCTGATGGTTCTTTAGAGGATGTCACTTGCAAAACTGTTTGTATTTGAACCTATTCAGAATTCAACCAGTAAGAAAAGGCTTTTCCCTGGGGTTTTTTTTGTTAAAAAAAATTACAGTAACACGTTTAATTTTGTGGTTGCCTAAGGTGGTGGATAACACCGGGGGAACCAATAGACTAACAAAAAATGCTAAAAAATAAGAGCTGGGGAATAAGATGTTCAAAGGAGCTTTGAAAAGGTCCAACATATTCCTGGAAATTTAGAAAGGAACATGCCTAGGTAAGGCTGTGTGCATTCCTAGAACTCTGCCCATGCTTACAAAAGACCTGAGAAAACCCTAAGCTCTTACTTCTAGCTGACCTTGACGTTTTGAACAAGCAGTTAAGGCTAAGGCAGACTTGTCAACTACCTGGTTGAGTGCCGAAGGTTGCTTCAACACACCCAAAGACTGAGAGATTTATTGGTTCCAGGCATTTAAAGAAACCTCCCTCTAATCATAAGATGACCACAAAACTAACCAAGTAGAGACTTCAGTGGCACACACAGTAAATAATACGTACTTTACGAATTAGTTCAGAAATGTCACTAAACAAACTGAAACAAATAGCAAAACAAACTCTGGAAAGGGGGAACAATCTGATATCTAGAGTTATAACATTATGTATTTTAAATGTATAGTTTTCAGCAAAAAACTCTAAGACATGCAAGAAAACAAGAACTTAACACATGGCTGTGGAAATCAAAATAATATACTCCCTCTATAACTTCCACATCTTAATCCCCAAGACCTGTGAATATGTGATCTTACATGGCAACAGAGACTTTGCAGATATGATTATATTAAAGATATTGATATGGGAAAATTTTCTGAATTATCTAAGTGGGTCACATATAATCACAAGAGCCCCTATAAGAGGAAGGCTGGAGGGTCAGAGGCAGTGAAGGAGATGTGACAATGAAAACAAAAGTTAGAGTAATGAGTAATGTGGGGCCATGATCCAAAGAATGTGTTGCCTCTAGAAACTGAAAAATGCAAGGAAATAAATTCTCTCCTGAAACTTCCAGAAGGAACCCAACTCTGCAAACACCATGATTTTGACCAACAAGACTAGTTTTGAACTTTTTACTTCCAAAACTATAAAATAATAATCTTGTATTGTTTTAAGCAACTAAGGTTATAGTAGTTTGTTACAGCGACAATAAAAATACTATACAGATTTAGGCACCAACAGTAGTACTTAGAGCTGTACCAAATACCAGGAAATGTGGAAGTAGATTTGAAATTTTAGGTGTTGGGTAGAGACTGGAAGAATTTTGAGGAGCATAGAAAAAGTCTAGATTGACTTGAACAGACTATTAGTAGAAATACAGATGTTAATGACTTTGTTAGTGAGAATCCAGAAAGAAAGTAGGAGCATGATAAAGAAAATTTGTATTGTCTTGGAGATTAATAAATCATAAACAGACTGTTGGCAGAAGAGGCACTGCTGATAACTGTTCAGAAGGAAATGAGGAACGTGCTGTTACAAATGGAAGAAAAGTAAATCCTTATTATATAAGGCAGAAGTTTCAGCTGAATTGTGTCCCAAAATTATGTAGAAAGCAGAACTTAAAAGCGATTAACTTGGAGGTTTAGCTGAGGCAATTCTTAGCAAATTGTTGAAGCTTTCTCAGCAAAAGTTAATATTTATCAGCAAAGTGTTGAAAAAGTGCTGATTTCTTCTGGTTGTATTAAAATGGTAGAAGAAAGAATTGCTAAGCAAAACAAACAACATAAAGCAGGACTTGGTGGTGATTTGGGTAACTCTCAGCTATTCTAGATTATAAAAGTTAGGATATTCACTGTGAGGACATGGAAGCAAGTTCTGGAGGGAAATACAGCCTTTTGCTAGTAATTCAAGTCTCAAAAAAATCACAGTATTTAATCATGCAAAGGAATTTTAAAAAAGAGATTAGACATGAGAGTCGTGGATTACCTAAGTAACGAAGGCATAAACCTGAAATAGAATAAGGATGGGATTATTATGAATAGATCTGTGGAGACTCTCTTCTAATTATGTGACTCACTGAGATATGCACAGGAGAACAAGTTTCTGGAAAATGTTATAACAGTAGAAACATTGTCAGCTTGTACTAAAAGGGACAGAGAGAGGACAAATTGAAAGAAGGTTGTTGGACTCCCCAAATTCTATAGGCAGAAAACAGGCTGTTAAAACTATTCAACTGCAAACACGTTACCTTCATAAAAAATAAAATATGACTTGGGGCAGAGCTATGATCCAAGAATGTGGAACTATGAGCCCAGAGGGTTTAACTGAGTAGCTAGAAAGCAAAGTCACAACCACAGTTAAGGGATGTGAAATATAATGGAGTTTTCTCAGTTGGTTATCAGAGTTTCTTGGGATTGGTGACACTTTTTTTTTCTTCCATTCAGTCTCTTTTTGAATGGGTATGTTATTAATATAACTGTTATTGTAGGTCTATTTCATTATTGCATTTTAAGAGTAGATAACTTGATATTCTATACTGTTGTATTGAGCAATTGAAAATGAAATTAAGAAATAATTTCATCTAATAACATAAAAAAGAATAAAAACTTTATAAGTAAATGTAACCAAAGAAGTATAAGACTTGTACACTAAAAAGTACAAAATATTATTGAAAGAAATTTTAAAAGACCTAAATACATAGAAAGACATCCCATGCTTGTAGATCGGGAGAATTAATATTGTTAAGATAACAATCCAATCCAAATTGATCTACATATTCAATGAAATCTTTATAAAAATCCCAGTAGACTTCTTTACATAAATTGACGATCTGATTCAAAAACTCATGTGAAAATGGAAGTAACTCATAGTCTAATTAGACTTCATGAAAATTAACAGTATTTGTATACCAAAGTGAAAACACAGCTCACAGAATGGGAAAAAATATTTGCACATCATATATCTTATAAGGGTCTAGTATCTTTCCATACATAAAGAACTCAAACTCAATGTAAAAAGACAAATAACCCAATTAAAAATATGGGCTAAAATTTGAATAAACATTTCTTGAAAGAACATAAACAAATGACCAATAGATACATAGAAAGATGCTTGACATGTTTATTTATCAGGGAAATGTGAATCCCAGCCACAAGAAAATATCATTTTATACCTGTGGCATGACTAAAAACAAAAACAACAAACAAACTGTAGTACAAGCTTTCCCAGCTAGTAAAGTGCTGTAGGAGCCCACTGGCATCAGTGTACCAGCTAATGTTGTGAGAGGCTGTGTTCGGCTTCAGTGAATTTTTTTGTAGGGGAGGAGATTCTTTCAACGCATTTGCCCATTTCATGCTGGGTAATTTACGAGCACACCTGCCCATATCGCGCTGAGGGTTGAGCAGTGTTTGAGTAAAAACAGCATGACCCCCATGCCCCACCCTCACTATTCACCTGCTCTCACCTCAAGCAACCATTTTTTGTTTGTTTTCCATGAAAAAAGTTCTCAAAGGGAAACATTTTGCCTATGTGGACTAAAAGGCATCAAAACTGGTGAGTTCAAAAACTGTTTTGAGCAGTGGAAAATTGTCCGGATAGGTGTACTGCATTAAATGGAGAGTACTTTGAAGGTGATGGAAGGTTAAACAAGTAAGAATAAATACACAATTCTTTATAAAGAAATTCTGGGTTTTTTGGGTCCCCTTTGTATATCCAAGAGAAAAGAAAATGTGCTCATACGAAACTTTTATGCAAATGCTCATAGCAAGATTATCAGTAATAGCTCAAAACTGGAACCAATCCTAATGTTCACTGAATGATGCGAATCAATATAACATGGTCAATCCATATAATGGAATATTATTCAGTCATTAAAAAGAATATAGTACAAATACCATACTACTATATAGATAAACCTTAAAAACATTATATTAAGTGAAAGAAACCAGACAGAAAGGCATATGCTATATAATCCTATTCATATGAAATATTCAGGACAAACAAATCCATAGAGACAGAAAGTAGATAAGTGGTTGACAGGGGATAGGGGAGTGACTGCTAATTTGACAAGATTTCTTTTAGGATAATAAAAGTGTCCTGGAATTAGTTAGTGGTGATGGCCTTATAACCTTATGAATATACTAAAAACCAGTGTATTGTGCATTTTAAAATAGTAATTTTTATGGTACATAAACTACTTTTTAGAAAAGGGGGACACAGGACAGTGTAAATCATATACTACCTTTTGCATTCAAGGGTTGGTATAAAAATACAGATTTACCTAAAGAAATTCTTCAGATTACGTTAGTTTCACTCTTTGGCTTTATTACTCTCACCATCACAGCATTATCCAGTCCCAAGGGAAGGAAGATAAGGACGAAATAATCGAAACTATAAGATTAGCCTTTGTGGGGGTGTGGATATGCAAGAAACATAAAATTGGTTACTCAGTGTGGCAGTTGAAGTGGAAAATAGGGTACAAGACTTGTGCACAAGGATGGCAGCAAACCATCTCAATGAATATCTTTTCATATATATATACAGGGGGTGCCAAAAAATGTACACACATTTTAAGTATGACTTTTGCCCAAAGATAGTGTTAATCAAATGAATATTAGCATCACCATGTGACAAGCTGGGCAGTCAAAGAAAATGACGTAAGCACAGTTGAGTGAATGTCATGCCACACATCACTACCATAATTTAATTCAACTTCAAAAAATGATACATAGATAGCATCTCTTAAAATGTGTATACAATTTTTGGCATGCCCTGTGTATATATGTGGAGAGAGAGAGACAGAGAGTCTCACTCTGTTGCCAAGGCTGGAGTGCTGTGGCATGATCACAGCTTACCGCAGCCTGGACCTCCCGGGCTCAGGTGATCCTTCTGCTTCAGCCTTCCAAGTAGCTGGGAATGCAGGTGCACATGTGGTCATACGTGGGTACTTTTTATGATTTTTTTTTTTTTTGTAGAGATGAGGTCATGCTATGTTGCCTAGGCTGGGCTCAAGCAATAATCTTGCCTCAGTCTCTCAAAGTGCTGGGATTACAGACGAAAGCCACCATCGTGCCCAGCCTATTTTATTTTTTTGAACTGGTGAAAGTATTTTTGTAAACACAATTTAAAACTGTTATTTAAACAACAACAACAGGCCGGGCGTGATGGCTCACACCTGTAATCTGAAATCTTTGGGAAGTGGAGGTGAAAGGATTTCCTGAACCCAGGGGTTTGAGAGCAGCCTGGGCAACACAACGAGAACTTGTCTCTATAATAAATAAAAAATTAGCTGGATGTGGTGGTAGGCACCTGTAGTTTCACCTGCTTGGAAGACTGAGGCTGAAGGATTGCCTTAACCCAGCAGGTTGAGGGTGTGGTAGCTGTGAGCATGCCACTGCACTCCAGCCTGGGTGACAGTGAGATTATGACAAGAAGAAGAAGAAGGAGAAGAAGGAGAAGAAGGAGAAGATCAACAAGTAATCAAATTTTAATTCTCAATTAATGGCTTCTATTTTCTTTTCTGCCTGCACTGTCATCTAGGCTGGGCACCGGCCCCCAAATCCTGCATTCTGGTGGGTCAATGACATGGGAGCAGAGGTCAAGTGGAGCTTTGAGGAGCTGGGGAAGCAGTCCAGGAAGGCTGCCAACGTTCTGAGGGGTGCATGCAGCCTGCAGCCTGGGGACAGAATAATGTTGGTGCTCCCACGACTCCCAGAGTGGTGGCTGGTCAGCGTGGCTTGTATGCGGACAGGTGAGCGGGTAGGCCTGGGACTCTGTTAGGACTGACACAACCTGTCAGAGTTTTGCAGCATTTATAAGGCCTGGGAAATGAAACAAAATGAACTCTACATGAAATTTGGTTGACTTCTCCTTTGCACAACAATCACAAACTTGATTGTGTGCAGGAACCAGACAGTGATATAATTGGTGAAAGCAGACCAGTATGAGGCAGTAGGGAGTGGTGAGGACTATGACAAGTTGGAGATCACATGCTTCATTAAATGGGAGCAATGCTTCTGAACTCCAAAAAAATGTTTCTATAGGAGGATAAATATCAGTGTTACCAGAATTCCTGATTTATAATGGAAAATTCTGGATTTTTATTTTAAAACCCTCTAGTCTTTTAATGTTGGCAACTAAACCAATTAAAAAAAAACCCGGAATGGGATAAACTCAACATATTTTTTGCTGGTTGTAGTTTGGCAGCCTTGTCTTAGTTGCTAGAATTTTACTTGGATAATAATGCTGTTATGAATAAGGGACCTTCATAACCAATCTACATTAGTTTCACTCTTTGGCTTTATGACTCTCACCATCACAGCATTATCCAGTTCCCAAGGGAAGGAAGAGAAGGATGAAATAATTGAAACAAGATTAGCCTTTGTGGGGGTGTGGTCTTTCTGCTGTCATGAATGTCCAGAACAGTGGACCACTGACCTTCTTGAATGATTCCTCTAAGCAGAAAAACAGAGGAGACAAGAGAACACACAGCCCAGTGAACTCGGGAAGCCTCTGTGGGTGCTGAGTGAATAAGTGATCAGGCACTTATTCAAAAGGCTAGGTTTTTTAGGCTAGTTTTACAAAAGCAAGACAACTACTTAAAGTGTAGAGCTGGTTTCTCCATTGCCCAGAAACTTTCAACCACTTAGAATGTTGTCCATCCCCTTCCAGATGTAATCTTATGTGTGCCCATAGAACAACCTACTTGAAAGACTGGTGTTTTCACAAATAATATTTATAGACTAGTAGGGTACAAACTCATGCCAGAGATCTAGTTTTTCTACATGAACAGTCATCATCAATAATTTTGTGAGTGGATTGACAAAAAAAAGAGGCAGAAACTTAAATTTGATGTTTACACCTTTTGTATAATATATTGTATAAAAGCAACACCATTATAGAATATCTAGCTCTGAAGAAAAGAGACAGGTTTCAGAATTTGCAGAATTCTTCATATTCTACCATGACATATACGGTTCACTTAAATGAGGGCCAAGAAGCCCCTATGCTTTTCTTGAGCACCTGCTATGTGCCAGACACTATATTAAACAATTTGCATGATTCTAATGTCCCTTTGTGGTGTTATTAATATTTTTTGTTTCATGCTACCTACATTTTCACAGTTATCCAATTATACAGGTTCATTCACTTTTTTGATGTCCAGATAAAATAACTCAAAAGTACATTTTATATGACCTTGCCAAGTCCAGCATTCCCTCCAACATCTTATAAGATACCCAAGCTGGATGTCCTTATGTTCAACTCTCATCCCCATGTTCTTCTGATATACACTTGTCACCTCTCTTTCTGCCTTTGATGCCTGATTTATTCCTCTGACTGACAGCTCTGACTGCCCGCCATCCTCTTGTCTCAAACTTTGAACACAGCCCCCAAAGCACCACAAACACAACTCTAGGTGGAACAGACCTACTGGAGATAACTGAAACAGAGAGATGGGATGAAGAACCATATCATTCACCTTGAAAAGTGTTCATGTTGAAGTTTAAATCCTGCAAAAGTTTAAGAGAGAGAGAGAGAGGGAAGGGCAACAAGAACTTAGGTTTGGCTTCCATGCTATTTGGGATTGGTCCCTTCTTCTCTCTGTCTTCTGTCCTCACTAACTGGCTGTGGCAGAGTGACCGATGCTTTTAGTACCTTGTTCTTCTCATCTGTGAAATGAGAGCGTTGGACTCAACAGACTGTTTATAATCTGCATTCTGAGTCACTCAAGTGATTTTCAAGTGTCTGATGAAAATTTGCCTGATTTCTGTTTCCTTGGCCCTTCGCATTGGGAGGAGGTGGACTCAACTACCTTCCTAGTAGCTTTGGTTGATGGTCGGTCCTAAAGCCCCCATCTGTTCCTGCAAGCAACTCACATTCACCCAATAGCTAGCATTCATTGTAGCATTTTGTTTGAAAGCATGGAAAACCATTGAGCTAGGTGATCTCTGAGGCAGTATAATAATATGGTCAAGATTATGGACTCTTAGGTTTACCACTACTTGGCCTCACAATTCTAACTCTACAATATGTTGGCTATGTGATCTTGAAGAAGTCATTTCATTTATTTAAAGTATAAAAATCTAAGTCCTATGGTTTTAAAAATCTATAAAATGGTCATAATAATAGCATCTACTTCTCAGAATCATGAGAATTAAATGAAATAATGCATGTTAAGTTCTTAGCACATGTAAATGCTCTATACATACTTTCTGGAGTTTATCAATATCATTTTTTTTAACCTCTTTCATCTTGGGAAGTCCAACCCTCTGCAGCCCTTTCCTGCCTCTATCTCTGGCCTTTACACCCAGGTCTTCCTCCACCTAGTCCACATCCTTTCTCTGTGTGATGCCAGGGGCCGTCATGATTCCAGGTATCTCTCAGCTGACAGAGAAGGACCTCAAGTACCGGCTGCAGGTATCCAGAGCCAAGTCCATCATCACCAGTGACTCCCTAGCTGTACGGGTGGACGCCATTAGCGCCGACTGCCCCTCTCTCCAGACCAAGCTGCTGGTGTCAGACCACAGTCGGTCAGGCTGGTTGAACTTCAGGGAACTCCTCCGGTGAGTTGGGGCTCTCCAGCAGAACAGCACTAAAATGAAGTCAAGGCATTTCTCCTTGAAACAACAAGAGATGTAATGCATTGCTGATTGCACATGAAGAAAGTGAATCAGAGAGGAATGCTGACTTTAGAAGCCAGACCTGAGACATAATTCTGGTGGACATAATCCTATTCAAGGTCATTCATTCAGTTAGCACTGGGTTTCTCATTAGTTTTTCTGTGTCTTGTTTATTTCCATAATGGTGACAATAGTTATTAGAGCTATTAGTCAGAGTATATTAGATAACTTACGTGATGCATTTAATATATAGTAAGTGGTCAGTTACTAATAAAATAACTGCCACGTATTGAGTGCTTAGTGTATGCTAGGTACTGTGGTAGGTAAGCATTAACCTACATTCATTCAATTAGCATCTATTTTGTGACAAGGATTGTGTTTGGAGCTCAAAATGCTGTAATGAATAAGACATCATCTCATTTAATCCTAAAAAAATTATAATGTGCACTTTAACTTGGTTTTATAAATGGGGAAACTGAAACTAGTAAAAGTGAAGTGACTTGCCCAAGATGCAAAAAGCAGCCAATTCAGGATTGGATTTGTAATGGAGCCAAATCCAAATTTGCTTTGGATCAAGGACGTGGTAAAAGTCTATATGTTAACTTGAGACTTTGTACTGATTGGAAGCTAGAACTCAAAAGGAACCCTGTACCACTGAGTCACAAATGCCCATCTCACAAACCAACTGCATCAGATCCATTTGGATGCCCTCTTCTCTTCTCTTCTCTTCTCTTCTCTTCTCTTCTCTTCTCTTCTCTTCTCTTCTCTTCTCTTCTCTTCTCCTCTCCTCTCTTCTCCCCTCCTCTCCTCTCCTCCCTTCCCTTCCCTTCCTCTTTCTTTCTTTCTTTCTTTCTTTCTTTCTTTCTTTCTTTCTTTCTTTCTTTCTTTCTCTCTCTCTCTCTCTTTCAAGTTGGAGTCTCACTCTGCCGCTCAGGCTGGAGTGCAGTGGCATACTCATGGCCACCCTAGCGTCGAACTGCTGGGCTCCGGTGATCCTTCCGCCTTAGCCTTCCAAGTAGTCGGAACTACAGGCGTGTGCTACCATGCCTGGCTAATTTTTGGTTTATTGTAGAGACACACCTTGACAAGTTGCCCGGGCTGGTCTCGGACCTGTGGACTCAGGCAATCCATTCAACTCAGCTTCTCAAAGTGCTGGGATTACAGGGTGAGCCACCAAGCCCCGATGGATGCCATTTTCAATACAGAGTCCAAGGTCCCACATCTGATCTACTTAACCAGACATATTTGAGCAAGGGTTTTGGGATTCTGTATTTTAAAAAAATCAGCCCAAGTGATTTGATGAGCTGTCAGATTGGACTAAATCTGTGGTTCTCAATTTTGGCTGTCATTAGAATTACCTAAGGAGCTTAAAAAAATCAATGATTCTCATTTTATTTTGTTCAGGGCAAGGCCCAGGCAGTGGTATTTCTTCTAAACACTTACTAGGTGAACTTAAGGTGCAGTCAGGATTGAGAACCAGGGGATTAGCTGATTCTCCAGATCACTTAACTTTGAGAATTACCTAGATCTTCAACCCACAAATTTGGAGAAACCTTTAGAAAACAGTTCAAAATTATTAGGAATTGGACTGAAGCGGGACTATATCTAAATTTGCATGTGTGTGTTCCACCAGGAAGTCCTCATGCCTTGGTGAAACATCATGGGCTCTTTTGAGCGAGCCATGTAATCATTTGAAGCCTAAATGTCCTTGTCTGATTAAAGGTCATTATGATAGCACCCATGCCATGAGGTAGTTGCAGATGCAAGTCAGAACTCTCAGCATGTGGCATTTATGAAATGGAAGTCATGTTGTGGTTATACATTTCATGAGTGCCATTAACCATTTTTACTATGGTAGTTCCACCTAGTATTCTTACATTTTACAGAGAGGCACCTGCAGAGCACAACTGTGTGAGGACCAAGAGTCGAGACCCACTGGCCATCTACTTCACCAGCGGAACCACGGGGGCCCCCAAGATGGTTGAACACTCTCAGTGCAGCTACGGACTGGGTTTTGTGGCCAGTGGAAGGTACTGGGACAGCGTTCCTGGAGGGTCCAAGAACAGAAGGTAGCGAGTGATCAGGAGAAGGGGGTGAAGGGAAAGGGCAAAAGTTGACATCAGAGAACCAACAAGAGAAGCTCCGTAGGCTTGTCAAGGCTGTGAGTTTTACTCTGAGTGAGGTGAAAACCATTGGAGGGTTTTTCTTTAAAATTGTGGCAAAATATACATAACATAAAATTTACCATTTTAACAATTTTTAAGTATACAGTCCAATATCTTAAATGTTGTTGTTGTGCAACCATCTTCACTATCCATCTCCAGGACACATCTGGTCTTCTCAAATGGACACTTTGTACCCAATGCACAATAATTCCCCATTCCCCTCTCCCTTAGCCCCTGGTAACCTCTCTTCTACTTTCCATCTCTATGAATTTGATATTCTTGGTATCCCATGTAAGTAATACACTATTTGCCCTTTTGTTTTGAAATTTGACTTCTTTCACTTAGTGTAATGTCCTCGAGTTCATCCATATCATAGAATGTGTCAGAATTTTCATCCCTTTTAAGACAGAAAAATATTCCATTGCATGTATATATCACATGTGAAAAGCCCATTACTTGTGGTGGACACTTGGGTTGCTTCCACATTTTGGCCACTCTCAATAATGTTGCTATGAACACTGGTGTTACCAATATCTGTTTGAGCCTCTGCTTTTAATTCCTTTGGGTATACACTCAGAAGTGGAATTGTTGGAATATATGGTAATTCTATGTTTAATTTTTGGGGGAACACTGGATATTTTGAGCAGAGGAATACATGATCATGATCTGATTTTTAATTTTTTTAAAGCTCACTCAGGATATGGGGTTGACAATGAACTACAGGGACAAGGAGTGAAGCAGAGGACCAGTGCATTCAGAGGCAAGGATGGTGGCTTTCTGAAGAGAATAATAGGGGAGAAGAGGCAAGATTCTGAATATGTTTTGAGCATAGACCTAATAAGATGGATTCTCTCATTCGATGTGAAATGAGAAAGAGAAGAGTCAAGGATTACTCTAAGTTGTATGACCTGAAAAGCAGAAACATTAAATGATAGGGAAAAGACTGGGAAGAGCTCTCTGGGGGAAGAAAAACAAAGAATCATTTTTGACCCTGTAAATTTGAGAGGTTTATTAGATATCTCCATACCCCTAGTTAAAAGTGGAGTTGTTGAGGAGGTATTTGGATATTCATGTCTGGAGTTAATGAGAAGGCTTCATCCTGAAGTCGTCAGTGAAAAGATGGTATTTAATATCATGAGCATTTAATTGCATGACATTAACAAAGTGCAGTATAAACTGAAAGGAGAAGGGGTCTCAGAACTGAGCACCTGTGGCATTTTTGCATTGAAGGGGAAGCCAGGAAGACTCAGTACAGGAGACTGAGAAGGAGTAGCCAATGAGGAAGAGGCAGCCCGGGACGTGTATTTCCTGGAACCCAAGAGTAGCACATGACCACTTTTTGTTTGCAGGCACTGTTTGCCCCTCCTAGAGCACTCCTCCTTCTCTGCCCCACCTATGTAATTCTTAGGCATTGTTTACATCTAACTTGTTTCACTTCCTCTGCAGAAGTGACAGATCCCATCTCCATCTTTGTTCTGGATTAGGTGCTTATTCTCTATAACCACACAAGGCTGTGTCTAACTCTACTAAAACAGGCTTTCAAGGGACTTCCTAGACATTTTTTAGCTATAATCTATAAGTATCCATTTCTACATCCCTAATGCTAAGTCCAGATTAAGTGCTAAATAAATATTGACTCAATAAAGTACCTTTATTGACGGCATTAAGATTATTTATTCCCTTATAGATTCCCTTATTATTTATTCCCCCTAGACTGTGAACTCTGAAGACGTGAGACCTGTCTTAATTTGGTGTCCTTAGCCTAGAGTATTGGCACATAGAGGATATTTAACAAATGCTTGTTGCCGGGCTTGGTGGCTCAGCCTGTAATCCCACGCCTTTGGGAGGCTGAGATGAGTGAATTGCCTGAGCCTGCGGGTTCGAGACCCGCCTGGGCAGCGAGACCTCATCTCTACAATAAATCAAAAAATCAGCCAGGCGTGATAGCGCATGCCTGTAATTCCGGCTACTTGGAAGGCTGAAGTGGAAGGATCGCCAGAGCCCAGCAGGTCGAGGCTGCGGTGGCCGGGAGCGGCCACTGCACTCCAGTCTGGGCGACAGAGTGAGACTCCAACTAAAAAAAAAACCAAAACCAAAACCAAAAAAACCCCAAATGCTTGTTGAGACAATGGTTAATTTGATGGTTCTTGTACAGATTTGACAAGTTTGAGTGAATACTCCCTGTGGGTGGACTCCAAATAAGGTGATATGAATAATGTAACCTTTTTAAAAGGTAGAGTCATTGCTGAAGGTGTTGACATTCTCTAAATTTTGGCAGGCAGTGGATGGCTTTGACCAAATCAGACATCTTCTGGAACACGACCGACACTGGCTGGGTGAAGGCAGCCTGGACCCTCTTCTCTGCTTGGCCTAACGGATCTTGTATTTTTGTGCATGAGCTTCCTCGAGTTGATGCCAAAGTTATCCTGAATGTAAGAGAAAAAAGCACCTCTGACATGTTGGGTATAAATGAGATGAGTGGGATATAGATTTCAAGGTTACAGGAGGAAAGGCACGACTCAGTGACCTTAAGATTTCTTTGGGGCTGATATTAACTAAAAAGGCTCATAGGACCTTTGTTCCTGCCCACTCAGTTACCTTCAATCACTGCCTGTGCTCTAGCTAGATTCCTAGACATGAGAACATTTTGTATCTCCAAATCTCTGCCTGTCTCATTCATCTGCATAGGATGTCTCTCTCCCACTACATTCCTCCCTATGTTCCTGTCAAAACCCTAGTTATTTGTCATCACCTTGGGAAATATCAGTCTATGTCTCAACTCCACGTCCATGGTGCTTAACAGGAGTATTTGGCGCAACTATAGGGTCCTGGTGATGCCTGCCTTGCCTCCTAGCATCTCATGGGGAGAGAGGAGAATTGGTGTCCCTGTGAAGACACAGGACACCTTTCTTCGTCTTCCACATCCTGAATGCCATTCCTTAAAACATCAGAGAGTCCATCTTCCCATGCTCTTTGCTCTGAGGCAAGCTGTATCACAGGGTGGCCAACAACATCACAAGCTGTGCCATCCAGTCAAACCTGGACTCTAATCCTACCTCTTTGATTTGCTAGCTGTATGGCCTTGAGAAAATGGTCTGTAACCTCCCTGAGCCTCAGTTTCAGCATCATCTGTAAGAAAGAAGGGGATACTATAGTTCCATACAGCTGTTGTAAAGATGAAATGATACAAGGCATAGGGACTGGCACATAGTGGGTCCTTAAAACATACTGATTTTTATTATCATTATCAAACTCATCACCACTGTTATTCATGTGAGACTTGATCAGCTAGCGTATGTACCTTCTCCCTCCACTGCCCCCAGCCCTGACATAGCGTTTTCATTATCTGTTGCTGTGTAGTAAGTCACCCCAAAACTTAGCAGCTTAAGACACACATTTCATCCAGTTTCTGAGGTCAGGAGTCTGCAAGTAACTTAACGCGGTGGTTCTGGAGCAGGGTGTATCATGAGGTTGTAGTCAAGATGTCAGCTAGGTACCCTCACGTTCGTAGCATCATTGTTCACAATAGCTAAAACGTGGAAACAACACAGGTGTCCATCCACAGAGAAATGGACAAATAAAATATGGTGTATACATAAAGTAGAAAATTATACAGCCTTCTAAAAAGGGAAGGAAATCTTGTCATAAGGATATGACATGGATGAACCTTGAGGACAACATGCTAAGTGAAATAAGCCAGTCATAGAAGGATTAATACTGTATGATGCCTCTTATACCTACAGTAGTCAAATTCATAGAGAAGAAGGTACAAGGGTTGTTATCACGAGTTAAGAGAGAGGGTAACTGGGAGTTGTAGAATGGATGCAGAGTTTGAGAAGGTAAAAATAGTTCTGGAGGTGAATGGTAGTGATGATTACACAATAATGTGAAAATACTTAATGCCTTTGGACTGTGCACTTAAAAATAGTTAAAATGGGTAAAATTTCCTGTTGTGGTGTATTTTACCGCAATAGTAATTTAAGAAAAAGATATACAGGGCTGCAGTCATCTCAAGGTTTGACTGAGCTTAGAAAATCTGCCTAAAAACTCACTGTGGTTGGCAGACTCCAGTTTCTCACTGGCTGTTGTCTAGAGGCTTTAGTTCCTTACTGTGAGCACTTGTCCCTAGCTTGGCTTGAGCATGCTCAAAACGTGGTGCTTGCTTCCCCCAGAATGAGTGATCCAAGAGAGGGAGACAGAATAAGAGCATCCAAGACAGCAGCCCTAGTTTTTGTATAACCTAATCTCAAAAGTGATATCCATCATCAGCTCGGCAGTATGCTTTTGCTTCCACAGACCCACCTTGATACAATGTAGGGGGACTCCACAAGGGTGCAAATGCCAGGAAGTAGGGGCCGTTGGGGGCCATATCAAAGGCTGATACATAGTTTCCAACTCTCTGTTTTGGTAGTGAGAATACTAAAACCCAGTTTAGCTGGGTGCAGTGGCTCACACCCGTAATCCCAGTGCTTTGGGAGGCTGAGGCAGGAGAATCATCTGAGGCCAGGAATTTGAGACTAGCCTGGATAACATATTGAGACCCTATCTCAAAAAAAAGAAGAAAGAAAGAAGATAAGTATCCAGTTTACCTGCTCCATTTCTAAGAAGTCCCACCCCAAGTGATTCTAAGATGTTCCATCTTTTGTTTTTGTTTAGACTCTCTCCACGTTCCCAATAACCACTCTCTGCTGTGTTCCAACCATCTTTCGGCTGCTTGTGCAGGAGGATCTGACCAGGTACAGTTCATCTGTTTGGTGCTTTGAGGGCCTAAGTGTGTGTGTATATACAGCATAGGTATTTACATACACCCCTACCCTCTCATTCCGTATCTCTTTCCTCTCTGTGTCTCTGCCTCTGTCCCTCTTGATATTTTTCTGTCTCTGTCTGTGTCCGCATGCCTCTCTCTGTCTCTCATCTCTCTCTCTTATACACATATACATTTACATACACAAATTGACAAACATATGTACCCATATCCCTCGCAGATGCTCCTCCAGGATAAGCTTCTGGCCCCCAGGTATTTGCATTCAGGTGGAAATGAATAGAATTAAGGCAGTCTAAAATATCAGCATGTGAGGTAGGCTTTCTCCATACAGGATATCTGTTATTTCTACAAGATGAGAGAAATTGCTGGATCCTTGTTAGTCATTTATGGAATGGGATTTGTGACCAGGGCCTTTAGGTCTGGTGGGACTAACAAGCTCTCCACAGTACATGCTCCATCTTCCAGCCCCAGACTGGCGCCAATCAGTCGTTTTCTGAGTGCAAGCCATTGTGCATCCGAGAGAAGGCAACAAGACACGTGGAGGACTCCTATCCTGGGTGAATCTACCGCAACATCTTCTACCAGGACAGGGCTAGTTTATGGGGAATGTGGAGTGAGGCCTGTGGCCCTTCAGCACCCACCGACATGAATCTATGTCTCCCTCTTCTGTCCTCTCCCAAGTCATGAGGAGTCATCCTTTGTCTCCTCTCATCTCCCCTAATTACATGTACCTGCCCATGAAGTGCCTAAAAGAGAGAGTTCTCACATGATTCTCAAGGTGAATTCCAAAATGTTAGAGTTCATCCCATTTATTGATGTGTTATGCATATCTTCACGTGATTTTGGCTGAAAGCAGGCTCTGAGTAATGTCTTCATGCACAATGTGGTTGAGTGATGGATACTTGGTGGCACTAAGTAACTTCATCAAATCAATTTACCCCCCAAATTGAAAATATATTTACAATCACTGTTTTTTTTATACTTTGCATAGTTTGTTAAACTAAGAGATAGTTTTACAACATATTTAATATCTTTAGAAAATTTTGGACCATTCATCAGAATTTTGGGATTCTTGGTTACTTTTCAATTTTTAATTGATTTATTTGTTTTCAATGAGATTGTTGTCTCACCCAGCTTTATTATCAATCAGCTTGTTTTCAACTAAATTATTTCCAACTAAACTCACCATGTTATGTCAAAATCTACTACATGAAGTAGTCCATGAAGAACATGGTTGCAAAACCAGAGGATGGGGGCACTTAGAGTCAATTAAAAAGCAGAGAAGTTTGCCATCTTGTGCCTTTGGGTGTTTGGATCTGGGAAGCAGTGCTGGGAGGTGGGATGGGGATCCTGACATGGGCAGCCTTGTTTTCCTGCCTGAGAAAGGCACCAGTTTCAGAGCCTGCGGCACTGTTTGACTGGAGGGGAGGCCCTCAACCCTGATGTGAGAGAGAAGTGGAAGCACCAGACAGGACTGGAGCTGCATGAAGGCTATGGTCAATCAGAAACGGTGAGTGCTGGAAGGCCAGGTCCTTGCCCAAGGTCACTGTGCTGCTGCCTGCCTTTCTGGGCTGTCCTCTCCCTGTCAGAGACTACCCTCCCCTCAGGGAATGAAGCTAATAACAAAACTCCATCAGCTTTTCTTCCCTTTTGGACTAAAGGTCATTTAAAGTAATTTCACAATGACACCATGACCAGCGAACCAACTCTCAGAGCCAAGAGTGCTGTCTCCACCAAGACAACCTATATCTGTCTCTGGTGAGAGCCCAAGGTCCTAAGCAATGTCCTCTCTAGTCAGCTGGACAGACCTTTGGGGACCAACTGAGTCTTTTGCCTAGGACACATTAAATTCTTGATGCAAGTATACCCATTTGAGTGCTCCATAAATGTTTGTTGACTATGGAGAAAAGAGAAGAAAGAAAGGCAAGAAGCAAGGAAGGAAAGAAGGAAGAAGAGAAACAGAAAGGAAGGAAGGAGGAAAGGAATTGGGAAATAAGGAGGAAGGGAGGAGAAAGGAAAATAGGAAAGGAAGTGAGGGAAGGGAGGAGGGAAAACAAGGAAGGAAGGAAATGAAGGAGGAAAGAAAGGAAGAAAATAGAAAAAATAGGAAGGACATGAGAAAGGAAGAGAGAAAGAAAGGAAGTAAACAAAAGAAAGAAGGGTGGAAAGGAGGAAGGAAAAATAAAAGGAAGAAAGGAAAGAGAGGGAGACAGAAGGAAGAGAAAGGAAAGAAAGTGAGAGAGGAACAGAAAGAGGGAGGGAGAAAGAGTAAGACAGCAGGGTGGGAGAAGGCATGGCCCAGGAAAGAACCTCAGGAGAAAGGTTCCACCTTATTGGTACTGGTTTCTCTCTAGGTGGTAATCTGTGCCAATCCAAAAGGTATGGAAATCAAATCCGGATCCATGGGGAAAGCGTCCCCGCCTTACGACGTGCAGGTAGGGGGCCTCTCCCCGCTGCTGGTGAAACCATTTGAAAAGGCTCAAGACACATGCGCCTGACTAGCACACGCTCAGCTGGTGGGATGGCCTGGATGTGTAGACATTCACACATACACTGACCATCCTCCTGCGATTCCTCTGCTAGATTGTGGATGATCGGGGCAGCATCCTCCCTCCTGGAGAAGAGGGGAATGTTGCTGTTCGCATCAGACCTGCCCGGCCCTTCTGTTTCTTCAACTGCTATTTGGTAAGAGTCAGGGAATGGCCATTGTCATGGTAATTACTGTGTGCCAAGCATTGTGCATTACACTTTATAAATACCTGTTTAACCCTTTGCAATGATTGCATGAAATGGGTTGGTACTATTATTGATAAGATACTGTTATTTGTTTATTTATTTTTTTGTGTTGCAGTCTTCAAAAATAAGGGGAAAATGAGAAATTCCTAGATTCTTTTTTGAGTCAGAGTCTTACTCTGTCGCTCAGACTGGAGTGCAATGGCATGCTCACAGGGACCACAGCCTCGATCTGCTGGGCTCAGGCGACCCTTCCACCTCAGCCTTCCCTTCCACCTCAGCCTTCCAAGTAGCTGGAACTACAGGCGCGCTCTACCATGCCTGGCTTATTTTTTGATTTATTGTAGAGATGAGGTTTCACCAGGTTTCCCAGGCTGGTCTTGCACCCATGGGCTCTGGCAATCCTCTTACCTTGGCATCACAAAGTGCTGGGATTATAGATGTGAACCACCACACCCAGCCAATAAGATACTGTTATTGAAAGGAAAGCTATTATTGATAAGAAGCTACTACAAAGATGAAGTGATTTATCCAATGTCATTCAATTAGTACACACAGGACATGGGATTTAAACATGGGTATGTCTGAGTGCACAAATACGTGATAGGAGGGCAGACCCATCATTTTAATAATGAGAAAATTAAGGTTCAGGGGAGGAAAGATACTTACCAAAGGTCAAACTGAAATATTGTGTCAGAGTGAAGTTTTCAAGATTCTTTTTGTGGTTTTCTAGCAGGGCTTGTGTCCTGGGATTTTAGTCCAAGCTTCTGAGATACTCAGGTATTTACCTCTCCTTTGTATTCACCCTGGCTGATGTTGAGCTTTCTTTTCTCTGTGCTCTCCTCTATGAAACTCTTAAACCTGGCTGTGCATGAGAAATACTTGGGAAGCCTCAACTGTTACTGAGGCTCTAGCCCCACCACAGCCTAATTAAAATTAAAATTTCTGATGGTGTGGATCAATTTCCCAGGTGATTTAAATGTGCAGCCAAAAATAAGAGCCAATGTTTTGTGAAAAGTCCATCTTGTGTTTATACTAAGCTGTCAAGCACTTACAGAACCAGAAGAAACAGGAAAAAAATCAGTCTATTGTTTTTAGAATCTTGTATTTTAGTGGTTTTTTTGTGACTGCAAGAGAAATAACCTTTCACTGTATTTTATTTAAAATCACAGGAACTTTACTCCCCCCAAAAAACTTAACAGCATAGTAATCATGGCAAGTCAAGATAATGTTAAAATTTTAATGCATTTTCTTCTAATCATTTTTGCAAGCAATTGTAAATATATGGCCATCCTGAAAAAAATGTATCTATTCATTATTTATTGAGCGCTACCTCTTTTTTTTTTTTTTTTTTGAGTTGGAGTCTCACTCTGTCGCCCAGACTGGAGTGCAGTGGCCGCTCCCGGCCACTGCAGCCTCGACCTGCTGGGCTCCGGCGATCCTTCCACCTCAGCCTTCCGAGTAGCCGGAATTACGGGAGCGTGCTATCACTCCTGGCTGATTTTTCGATTTATTGTAGAGATGAAGTCTCGCCTGCCCAGGCGGGTCTCGAACCCGCGGGCTCAGGCAATCCACTCACCTCAGCCTCCCAAAGGCGCGGGATTACAGGCTGAGCCACCGAGCCTGGCTTGAGCGCTACCTCTTGCCACTAGATATGCAGCAAGATCCTGGTACTTACAGAACTCACACACATCCTTTCTGGATCTGAGATCATCCCAATAAGAGAACTAAAGTAATTTGTCAAGTTATTTGCTAGACAAGAATCTTCATTTTCCATCACCAGTGCCACAGTTAGTTTTCTTCTCAGGTCATTTTTAATTAAGAAAAAAAATTAAATTTCTTCATGAGAATTATGGCACATATGAAATTTAATAGACAATGTCAGACCAGAATTGCTCTGTGGTGCATTGGTGACAAGTTAAGCTCACTCTACCCCCACAATAAGCATGAACATTTTACATTCATGTTGGCTGCTTCCAAATAGCTGAAATTGCACATGCCAGTTAAATTAATATGCTATGCCAATTTGTATCCAATATAAGGAATATACTTCTTTTCCTAGAGAAACAAACTGTCAAATGCACAGATGCTCATTACAGCATTGTTTACAATAGACAAAAAGGTGGAAGGTCTATCTAAATTTCTAATACCAGAAAATTATGCATGTAAATTGTATTGCAGTCTTGTGAACAACAACAAAAAACAAAAAAGCAGAAGAAGACCTGGTGCTGTAGCTCAAGTCAGTAATCCTGGCACTTTGGGAGGCCGAGGTGAGAGGATTGCCTGAGCCCAGGGATTCGAGACCAGCCTGGACAACATGGCAAGATCTCGTCTCCACAACAAATCAAAACAATTAACTGGGCATGGTGGCATGCGCCTATAGTTCCAGCTACTTGGAGGGCTGAGGTAGAAGGATTGCCTGAGCCCAGCAGGTCGAGACTGCAATGGCCGTGAGCAGTGTGCCACTGCACACCAGCCTGGACAACAGAGTGAGACTCTGACTCAAAAAAATAAAGAGGAAAAAACAAATTTCAAACAATAGGAATTTGCTCAAATACATAATATCACAGCCACATAGAAATATTACACAACTATTGAATATAATATTACATTTCACTTTGACTCTTGTGAAGACACATACATGATATACTGTCAACTAATTAAAATTGGGCTATAGAAATCTACATGTAATGCATTCCGTATGCAAAAAATCATGTATATACAATAAAAAGTTCTTTAAGATTGTGTTGAATTTTTTAGCTGTGGTTAGCTGAGTAGTGGAACTGATCTTTTTTTCATTCTCTATTTTCTATTGATTCTGTAAGAGATGTATAATTATATAATACAGAAATAGTAAGATACATTTTCATTTGTACTTTATGGCAGATACAACTTATAATATGCACTTTTAAAAATTATGTCATGAGTTTTTTTTCATGACACTAAGTATTTTGGTGAGATTTTATTTTCAATCGCTGCATAGTTCCCTTGATTTTTTGATGCATATGGTGGTTCTGCTTTGTGTAGTATCAGCATGTTTCCTTCCAAGGGCCTTGGCTGTGCCGAAGAGCCTTGAATCCACTCCCCCTGTGCCCAGCCTCACAACAGGCATTATTTTCCCAAGAAAGTCAATCCCTCTGACCATGGCCTGCTTCCCTGGAAAGGTGGTTGTATGTGAAGAGAGAGGATGGCCCACCCAAAGAACCCCTTTACAGATCACTCTCGATAGTATATCTTTTTAGTTTTCAATAAGCTCTCTTTTATTTTATTATTATATTATTATTATTATTTTTTGAGTTGGAGTCTCATTGTGTCGCCCAGACTGGAGTGCAGTGGCCACTCCCGGCCACTGCAGCCTCGACTTGCTGGGCTCCGGTGATCCTTCTGCCTCAGCCTTCCAAGTAGCTGGAACTACTGGCACGTGGCTAATTTTGATTTATTGTAGAGATGAAGTCTTGCTAAGTTGCCCAGGCGGGTCTCGAACACACGGGCTCAGGCAATCCACTCACCTCAGCCTCCCAAAGGCATGGGATTACAAGCTGAGCCACCGAGCCTGGCTTATTATTATATTATTAATGATAATAATAATTATTTTGTTTGTAAATAACTTTTATTAAATAATATTTAAAATTATTTCATTTTAAACTATAAATGTCATATACTTGTATTGTGTGAATGAAATACGATCTCTTTATCCATTCTCCCATATATGACCACTTAGCTTGTTTTCAGCCTTTTACTGGACAATTGTGCAGTTGTGAACTCACTTGTACAGGCTTCTGGTACAGACATGCTAAAGTTGTTCTTTGCAATCTGTCTAGCTGTGAAATTGTTATATGATGGGGTATGTCATTGTTCAGCTTTACAAAAAAATACTTGATTTTGTTAGAATGTTTTTACCAATTTACACTCCCACAAAATCTTAAAGGTCGGTCACCATGGTCTCTGGATACTTACAATACCATTCACTGTCTGAGTGTAATGGCTTTGACCTTTTGATGAAGTAATTTGGTAGCAGGTATCCAGGGCTATGAATTGGTCAGATCATTGGCTCAGAAATTCCATCTATGGGAATTGTTACAAAGAAAAGAACTCAAGATGTAAGAAAATATTTGGCACACAAAGGTACTCACTGCAGAATTGTTTATAACTGAACAAATGGAGGAAAAGCTCAAAATGCAAGAAGTCACTAAGTAAATTGGAGTAGATTGACAATCTAGTATATATACAGTGTTATAGTGTTCCTGATTTGTACTTTCTTCATCACTATCGAAGTTGAATTCGTGTTCATATGTCTATTATCCATTTGTATTACTTCTTTTTGAAGTGCCTATTCATGCGTCTTTCCAACTTTTATTAAGCTGTCTTTTATAATTGAATTATAGGAGTTCTTAATATTGTCTTGATATTGGTCCTTTGTTATTCGAGTGGCTAACATCTCCCAGGTTGCAGTTCATCTTTTCACTTTCTTTAAGGTATTTTTGTTTAACAGAAGTATTTGTTTTTATGTAGTCAAATCTATAAGCTTTATGATCTATGGTTAATCCTTTTTGTGTCTTATTTACAAAATCATTTTCTACTTTGGGGTAGAAAACATGCATTCACCTGTATTTTCTTTCAATAGTTTTAAAGTTCTGCTTTTGCCATTTAAGTTTATAATCCATTTGTGGTTGACGTATGAATGGTATGAGATAGGGGATCTATTTTATTTTTCCATCTGAAAAGCCAATTTGTTGGATCTTTCTTTCCCCAGTGATCTGTCATGTTAATCTTGTTAAATATAGAAGATTGACATATACATATATACGCATATATACATATATACAAGTTTTGGCACGTTTTCCTCTTTCATTGCTTGGTCACTTGATTTATTCCTGTATTGACACCATAGAGTCTTATCCACAAAAACATTACCATAAGTCTTCATATCTAGTAGAGCAAGATTATCCTTCTTACTCAACTTCTCTAGAAGTGTTCTTATCTATTCTTGGCCCTTTGCTCATTCACATACATTTTAGAATCAACTTGTCAAGTTTTATGGAAAATATTTGCTAACATTTTGATTAGAGCTGCATTAAGTCTATAAATCAACTTGGGGATAACTGACATGCCTATTAATGACATCGTTCTATCTTTCCATTTGCTTATATCTTCTTTTTAGAAACTTTTTATTTTAAATATGTGGGGTACAGTTCAGGGTTAGGTGTAGAAATGTTCATTATGCAGGCACCCTTGTTGATGAGGTGCGCCCCCCACTCCCTGGCAGTTTCCCACTACTGCCAATCCCACCTCTCCTCTCCTGGCAGTTTCCCACTACTGCCAATCCCTTTCTTATAGTATTATGATAGTTGTATCCTCTTTGATGTTCTGAAGAGTCTTAAGTTTTCTGTGTACATAACTTATAGATTTTGTGTTAGGTATATTTTTAGGTATTGATAGGTTATCTTCTTTCTTTTTTCTCAGAATGCACTTGTTGAATTGAGATATATTTTACCTACAATAAAATGCACCGATGTTATGTGTGCAGGTCAATGACTTTTGACAAATGTACACCCCTGTGTAACCACCACCACCATTGAGATATGGAACATTTTATTGCCTCCAAATGTTCTCTCGTTTCCCTTTGCAGTCATTCCCCTCTACCCCAGACAACTGATGAATTATTTTTTGTCAATATGTAATAATTTTGCTTAACAAAGAAATTAGCATAAATGCAATCATAAAATACTCTTTTTTTGGTGTCTGGCTTCTTTTACTCAGCGTGATGTTTTTGCAAGCCATCCATGTTGGTGCATGTGTTAGTAATTTGTTTCTTTTTCTTGCTGAATAGTAGTTGTTTTAAAAAAATCTTTGATAATGAAAGTTTAATGTCTTTTTTTATTTTCTCTATCCTTGCCTCCCACCAATGAGCTTTTTGGCCAGCCCCTCACTTCTGCCTTCAATGACTCCTGAGCACAAACAGTATCATTGTATTATTTTGTCCTAAGAAGGAAAGTCAATGACCCTGTGCCCACCCTCCTGCTTTCAACTATGCTTTCTTTCTACTACCCCTTTTAAGGATGGTAGTGAGAGGCTGGTCTTAATACTTTCCAATTCAAAGAGGGGAAATGAACAAATTCACAGGGCTATATCTCCCAGTCGAGGGAGGAGCGCTGGGCAGCCTGGGCATTGGGAAATGCCGAACTTTTTATTGTGGGTCTCCAACCTCTTGCACGGGGCTGCTCAGGAGATAGTTGAATTGAGTGGTTGCTTCCAGAGGGTTTTTCATGGATTTTCTTTGTCTTTCAGGACAATCCTGAGAAGACAGCTGCATCAGAACAAGGGGATTTTTACATCACAGGGGACCGAGCACACATGGACAAGGATGGCTACTTCTGGTTCATGGGAAGAAATGACGATGTGATCAATTCTTCAAGGTCAAGCTGTCTGCTCTTTTCTCCTCCCATTGCAGTTTCACTGGAGTTAAGGGGAGGCCACTTGGAAGGGTTTGTTTTTCCCTTCCAGCTACCGAATTGGACCCGTTGAAGTGGAGAGCGCCCTGGCGGAACATCCAGCTGTCCTTGAGTCTGCTGTGGTCAGCAGCCCGGACCCCATCAGGGGAGAGGTAACCAGTACAGCCAAGAACATGGCCTCCTGCTTCTGTACCTAATAGCATCCAACAGAGCCAGCAGAAAGGCCTGATTTCCCCCTTCTCACCTCATCCATGTACCACAAAGTTGAAGGGCCACCATCAAACACACATTCCTTTGGATTAAGCGTTCCCTTCAAGTGTTTAGAGATGTAAATACTGTCTGGTGGGATGTGATAGGAAAATGCCAACACTTTTGTTTTAAGCAAACACAGAACTGGATCCACAAGAGTTGACTACGGGTCTGGAGTAGATGCAGGCTCTGCCATCCATCCTGTCCAATAAGCAGTCACCTTTTTGCAGATGAAGATGTAGACAGCATACCAGACATGGTTGCTGATGGCTCTAATCTGGGAGGAAGAGCCAACTTCTAGTGACAGAATATGTATCAAAGTGACCTTGCCATACCAGAAAGATGGGCTAAATTTAATAAGCTGGGCTTATGAAATGAAATGCACATTCCTTCCTGTGGGTCCCAGAGAAATAGGTAGAATGGGGAAGAGCAGCTTATCAGCAGACCTATGCTTTTCACTGGCTGTAAATCCAACATAGTCCTAAAATACAACACAGTTATCTTATGAAATTTAGTGCAGCATCAACCTGCATTCTCAGAAGCATCAGTGCCCGAGGAGTGATTCTTAAAATCTGATCACTGGGCTGTTCACAGCTGCATCATCAGGGATTCTCATCTAAAAAAAACAGATTTGTAGAGCTCCAGTCAGACTTGCCAAATTATAGAAACCAGGGATGCCGCCTAGAAAATCTGCATTTTAGACAACAGCCTTTTGCCAAGTGATTCCTTGGTAAAACTTGAGTCCATTCATATAGAATGAGGGAGGTATGAGTCTCATCTATGTGCTGGAGAAAGTACACCTGGAAAAGTGTGTCTAGCTCTGCATGTTGCAAATTACCTAGAGATGTGACGAATGGTGCTTGCTCAAAGTTAATCCATGTATAGTGCTTAGAACCAAGCCTGGCAGATGGGTAGCACTCAGCAAATGCTTAGCAGTTACCACAGTAAGGGGAGGCCCTTCCGAAAATCCAGTTCTGTCTGAATGTGAAATGATAGTAGCCTTCCTACCTTTGGGAAGTATGCAAGGATAGTGAACTAACCCCTAACAGAATAGCGTTGATGGAAACAACCAAATGCCTTCCATTCCTGTCAGAATCCATGTTCTGTTGTGCCTGAGTCTAAGACTCTTCCTCCTTCCTGGCAGGAGGCAGCCTGTAGGAAAGACACGGGCAGAGACATCCAAGGTGCAAAATGTTCCTCAGGAAGTCTGGAACAGAGAACTTCAGCACAACGTTTACTGACTGATTACAAATGTTCCTAAATGCGGTCTCCAAAAGACCCAGCTCCTCTTAAAAGTGGCTGTGTTTTCCTCAGTCTTGCCTGATCGAACCTACCCTTCTAGTTAGAAAAGCCTGGAAGTAAACGGCTATAGACATTTGTGAAGAGCTTTTCTCTGAAGCATTTGCATCTTAAGAGAAGCAACACTGGCTCCTGCTGGTGTCATTTCAGATATGGGGCGAAGTTTGAGGTAGGGGTCTGAAAACATTCTGCCAAAGTCAACACTCCCAGTAGTTGATCCTGGAAAGGCAGACAGTAGAAAAATTGGTGTCCATTTCACTGGCTCTGCAAGTGAAAGTTCATCATGGTAGAACTTCCATGTTGGGCTGGTATGAGGGTGCTTATTCACAAAGCTAGCTTCAAGAGAAAGGCTTGTTAGTCAAGTCCTGATCCTTTCTGGCTTTATTTTTCCCTGTAGGTGGTAAAGGCCTTTATCGTTCTCTCTCCAACCTACTCCTCTCATGACCCAGAGGCACTAACCCGGGAACTCCAGGAACACGTGAAGAGGGTGACTGCTCCGTACAAGTATCCCAGGAAGGTAAATGCCCGGGGATTCTAGGACACAGTGAGCTGGGAAATCAGATGGGCACACACTGCCTGGGTTCCTGGGGAGGGCCAGGTCCTGTGCTGGGCACTGGAGAGATGGGGATAGATGTAACCCTGGTGCTGCTTCAGTTCGTTCTCTGTGTTTCTTCGTCAAGTCCTCCCCAGAGCACCTATTGTTCTTACTATAAGGGGACCTGCAGGCCAGGTGCAGTGGTTCAAGTCTGTAATCCCATCACTTTGGGAGGCCAAGGGGAGAGGATAGCCTGAGCTCAGGGGTTCGAGACTAGCCTGGGCAACTTGGTGAGACCTCGTCTCTACAATAAATCAAAAAAATTAGCTGGGCGTAGTGGCATGTGCTTGTGGTTCCAACTGCTTGGTTGAGGCTGTGGTGCCCGTGAGCCTGCCACTGTATTCCAGCCTGGGTGACTGAGTGAGATCCCGACTCCAAAAAAAAAAAAAACCGTTTGTGGTGTCACATGCCTGTAGTTCCCACTACTTGGAAGACTGAGGTGGAAGGATCGCCAGAGCCCAGCAGGCTGAGGCTGCGGTGGCCATGAGCTTGCCACTGTACTTCAGCCTGGGTGACAGAGTGAGATTCCGACTAAAAAAATAAAATAAAATAAAATGAAATGAGAGGACCTGCAAATCTGATACAGGCGGTGGTGCAAAAATGCTGTCAAAAAGATCATGTACTCCAGGTTCTAGCTGTTTTGATTATTGCCATTTGGAAAAAGAGCCCTGAATTGTGACAGTTTTCCAGTGAGTTTTAGAAGGTAATCTTTCTGGGAAGTGATGGTTTCTAAGTGTTTTTATATTTTTGGTCACTAGGTGGCTTTTGTTTCAGAACTGCCAAAGACAGTTTCTGGAAAGATCCAAAGGAGTAAATTGCGAAGCCAAGAGTGGGAGAAATGAAGTGCCACTGCAGGAAAGCCCCATAGGCCTCTGAAGGTCCCTCGAGGAGCTGCTGGGGTTATTCGTCAGCCTCCACGCAGAGCGCCATCCCTTTAATGCCACAGACACGAAAAGGTGCGCAACTTCCAAGTGAACATCTCCAGAATCAACGGATGACCGTGGAAAGAGCAGAAAAACATCACTGACCCAGAGCATATCTCCATTGCCCAGCCTAGCAAATGCTTGATGGCTTGACTTCTGCTCTGTCTGGAGACAAGCTCAGCCGTCTGCCCTCTGGTCTGTGTTTCTAAAAGCTTTCAGCTGCTTCTCCTCGGGGCTCTGGTGGTCTCATTCTGTGATGTGAGTCAAAGTCTTCACCCTTTAGATGAAACCTTTTGGTAAAAGTATGCAGGACCATAAAACTGGAAATGTCCTTCAGCTCAGAAATTCTATCTTTGGGTGATCACTGCAAAATAAAGAATTCGAAGTGCAGAAAATGTTTGGTGTGTAAAGATGTTCATTGCAGCATTGCTTAAAACACAGTAAAAGAAAAAACAGAAAAAAAGTTAATGACCAAACAACGGAGGAATGTTGAACTACTGTAGTAGAATAACTCAGTAACATAGTACATGGCCATTAAAAATATTTAAGAACAGTTTGTCATGTCCTGGGGAAAATGTAAGCTATAATAATTTTTTCAACAGAAATAAAAACAGATGCATACTGAAGAATCACAACTCTGAACAATAAAGGAAAAACTGTAGTTAATACTAATTTTTCTAGAGATTGTGGAGGGAGAGAAAATAATAAATGGTAGTTTTATCTTTCTTTTCTCTCTTCATTTCTGTATTTTCCAAATCTTCTTAGTAAGTACATACAGCTATTTTATTTTTTATTTTTTGAGTTGGAGTCTCTGTCACCTAGGTTGGAATACAGTGGCATGCTCACTGTCGCCACAGCCTTGACCTGCTGGGCTCAGGCAATCCCTCTGCCTCAGCCTTTCAAGTAGCTGGAACCACAGGCACACGCCACCATGCCTGGCTAACTCTTTGATTTTTTGTAGAGACAAGGTCTCGCCCAATGCTCAGGCTGGTCTCAAACCCTGAACTCAGGCAATCCTCTCACCTCCGTTTCCCAAAGTGCTGGGATTACAGGCACGAGCCACCAAGCCTGGCAGATACAGCAATTTTAATGAAAAGTTATTTTAAGGAAGCGGTCTCCCAAAATCACACTTAGCCTCATGCCTAGTTTTTCCTCCTCAAACTCACAATGCATAATCTTCAAAGGCTAGCATATTTTGTTTGTATTAGACAGTTTCTCAGAGAAACAGATCCAATAGGAGATATATATATATGAGGAATTTTATTATGGGAATTGACTACCTTGATTATGGAGAAGTCCCATGATATGCCATCGGCATGCTGGAGAACCAGGAAACCAGTTCTGTAATGAAGTCTGAAACATCATTAAAGGCCTGAGACCAGGGAATTCAATGGTGTAGGTCCCCGTTAATGTCCAAAGACCTGACAACCAGGAGCTTTGATGTCCACGAGCAGGAAAAGATGGGTGTCCTTGCCCAAAAAGAGAGAGCAAATTTGCCTTTCCGTTCTATCCAGGCCTTCCAAGGATCAGGTGATGCCAGCCTGGATGCTGATATTCTTTACTTGTCTGTAGATTCAAATGCTGATCCCACCTGGAAACACCCTCACAGATACACTCAGAAGTAATTTTTACAGTTATTTGGGAATTCCTTAATACAGCCAAGTTGATACATAACATTAACCATCACAGTGTCTTACCTAGGATGGGCACAAGGACCAGAAACTTTGGCCCAGGCCTGGAAGCAGAAAGCAGGGGGAAGATGGCAGCTGGATCACTGATCCGAGCCAGGTGGAGAAGAAGCAGACAGAAACACAGAATGATCCTGGTGCTACTAACCCCACCTCTAGCACCTTTACTCACTTACCAAGGAATATTTATTGAGCACCTACTCTGTGCTGGCCTCTGACACTACGATGATAAGTAACAGTCAACCCAGTCCCTACCTGTGTGAGTTTTCTGGGGCTTCCATAACAAAGTAACACTGACTGGGTGCTTTAAGTAATAGAAATTTATTTCCTCACAGTCCTTGAGGCTGGAAGTCTAGGACCAAGGTGTTGGCAGAATTGGTTTCATTCTGAGACCTTCTTCTTGATTTGTAGATGACTGTCTTCTCCCCCTGTCTTTTTAAAAAATGAATTTAGAAAGGTAGATTTATTAAAAGAAAGATACATTGTGATGGACACAGAGGGCAAGACAACTGTGAGAGTGTCTGCTGTCTACTGTCATACCTCTGTCTTTAGCTGGTCTTTCTTCTGTGCATATGTGTCTGTCTCCTAATTGCCTCTTCTTACAAGGACACTTGTCATGACAGATTGCATTAGGGTCCGTCCTCATGACCTCACTTTAACTCTTAAAAGACCCATCTCCAAATTCAGTCACATTCTGAGGTACTTTGGGATTAGGACTTCAACATGTGAATTTTGCTGTTTGTCTTTATGGCTGGGCAAACCTGCTTCTAAGGTAGGAATTCACACTTTGGCTGTTTGGTGATTTACCCAAGGCCCAACAGCAGGGGGAGCCAGAGGCCAGAGAAACACACACAACTTTTTCCTCTGTACAGTTTCTCTCTGTTCTCTGAATGTCAGGGTTTTTGAGGGAAATGACACCAGGGTAAAGGGGTATCTACACTATATGTCACCCTGGGTACATTGCTGGATAGTCCCTGGACTCTTTCACCTTCCCCCCGAGCCAAGGCAGTCTGTTCTTCTCCAGCTGTAGTCTGAGTTGTTCACCCAAGGACCTTAGTTTACACTTACCAGGATAAGCCAGAAGGGAAGGTGAGCCCCAATCCCTGTTTCCCTCAGTGTCTCACTGATACACCTGACTCCACAGCCAGGCTTCTGCAGAGTCACCTTTGTCTAGTTCAGCTCCAGAAGGAAAAAGGTGAACCTCTCAGCCGCAGCTGTACCAGAGGGGACCACACACCACTGCCCACATACCCCACACTTTCGCACCAGGCACCCGACTCCAGAAGTCACGGAGAATAACTGCAGTGCAACAACCTCTGCTTCCACCATCACTTTGTGGAGAACGTATTCTGTGTCAGGTATTGTGCTAAATGCTTGGCTGAAATCTAACTCAAATATTCTCACCCTTAGATTACCTTCATGCACATAGGACTGTCCACATACTAACTGTGCTATTAATCAACTCATTTTACAGAGAAACTATATTCACTCTAGGAGATATAATACTGATGAAAGCCCAAGTCTGAAATGCTGTTAATTTTTTCCCTAATGCATATCACATAACCATGAACATGAAAATGACTTTTCTAAAACCACCTTGTGAAACCTCCTTTTCAGGGAAACCGATCTAGCCCAATTTGCACTGTAACTCTAAGATGAAAGTCTTATGTCCACTTAAGAGATGGAAAGATGAACACTCAGTGGGTTTTGTGAAGTAGCCCTTCTCTGAGTCACCACTCCTTCTCCCATGGGAGTCAGGTGACCCTGAGAAGGCCCCTACCCTGCTTTCTAGTTTCCTGTCTCTTCCTCCCTCCTCACTCTTCTTCCCTCCTTCTTTTCCTTCCTGGCCTTCTCTTTGTTTTCCTTCTTGACTCTTCTTGGCCTGAGGACTGAACTGTAGGGCTCAGCTTTTGAGTCACTTCCTTTGTTAAGCTTTCACTGACCACCTCCCCCCACCAGAGGAATCACTTGGGGGGGGGGCAGGACACTCTACTTAGCTGAATGGTGGCAGAAATAACAGATACACTGAATGGACTGGACCTGATGGGCTACACTCGGAAGATAGCTTTCTATTTCTTCCACTGCTGGTACTCAAATCTGCTGTGTCAACTCTCTCTTGCTCACCCAAAGAACTTTGTATCTTTGGACAGATCCTTTTATCTTTTAATTCCTTCTCAAGTCTCATTTTTTAAGTATTAAAATGTTCAGTCCGATCTAAATCAAAATTTACAACCAGCTTAGAGCTTCTTGACCAGCCCAGACTCACCCAAGGTGTGCCTTGGGCTTCATCTGAGGCTTACTGTCTTCCTCTGGTAGGGATGGGGAACACGAGTAGAGGGATGAGGTATAACTTCACCCTGGGTGCTGATATGACAACTTTATAATTCCCTGATGTAGGTAACCCCTTCCTCAACTGGCTTCTCAGGGCTTTTCTCTTGGGTCCTACCTACTCCAGTGGCACATCCTTCTCCCCTTGACATTTTGAGGGTGAATTGTCTGGGCAGGCTGCTGACTTGAGTGGGTCCCGCTCAAATCGATTCAAACATGGTGGTCTTCAATGGTGCCCACTGGTCGGTTAGCCAAACATTTCACACATCTTTGCTCTGTCAAATACTGGAAGTGTAGCCCCATCAAGGAAACTTTTTTCTCTCTGGTGACATCACAGGGTGAGTCAGTAGGATTCGGGAACTCAGAAAGCATCCAGTGAAGGTAAGAGAGATAATATGGGGGAAAAAAGCCTCTCCTCTTCAATGTGAGAATATAGACTCTGGAGCCAGACATCCTGATGTTTGCATGCCAGCTCCTTGAACTTCCTGGCTGTGCAGCACTGAGCATGCTATTCAACCTTTTTGTATCTCATTAACCCTGTCTATAAAATGGAGATGATAAATGGCATCCACCTATTGTGTTGTTTTGAGAATCAAATAAGTTTATGTGTATGTGATGTGGGGACATCTCTTTAAACTGTGGATATCTGTCACCTTAGTCTCGGCTTTGGGCTTCAGCCAAAATTCTGTAGCAACAGAGAATGTCCCATGTAGTCTCCTTTTTCATGAGCACCACACCTCCTTGCTGTTGCCTATTTTGTTTTCCCCATCTTTCCTTGTAGATTGTGGACTCTTGGACATCATGGGTCAGATCATGGGTCAGTCTTAGTGGTCATCCCAGTGCCAGGATGAATGAAGCATAAGCCATGGAAATAGCAGTTCGTTCTCACTGAGCACTAACTATACATTTCTCATATGCCCTGGCTTCTCAAACTTCAGGTAATAAGCTCTGTGGAATAGGAAGAATGGGACTCCAGAGACTCAAGACTGGGTACTTACCTGACTCTGACTCCAACTCCAAGTGAGAGAAGGAGAAGCACAATGGATACTTGTGAACATGGTTTTGAGATCAAAACAAAGAGTCTTAGAAATCTGGCACTTTGGCCCTCTTCTTCCCCATAAAATTCCTAGGGGTGCAGCACCACTCTCCTATAGCATCGGGACAACTCTGCTAGGAAAGTGAGTGACATTCAGGTATTGACTCACTCAGGATTTACCATGACCTTACCATATAGGTACTATTGAATGCTTGGGCAATGTCTCTTAAGCTAGGCAGCCTCCAAAACCTGGGGTCAGTCCAGACAGGTCATCAAAGACTTCCTGATATGATCAGGATCGAGATAGGTAGAGAAGAAAATATGTTCTTCCCTCAGTGGCTCTGATTCCTGACTCAAAACCCTCTGTCCTAAGAGCTTCTAAGACCCCTCCATAGGGTTTTCTGCTCCCA